TTTTTTTTTTCATTTTTTTTTTTTTTTTTTTTTTTTTGACTCTCCACTGCTCCCTCGTACTCGTCGAATATATAACGCTTCTTTTTACACGTGACAACACATTATTCCTTGATAATTCGCGGTGTACGCGAACGAATTGGAAAAAAAAGAAGGAAAAATTGACCCAAGATGTGGCAACGTCGAACGCACTTCGTCGATGATATTCCATTTCACTGTCGGAACGGGAATATACAAATTACAAATGCAATGCCGCGGCTACGAAATTGTCCGTCTTTTCGTGAAAAAAGGAGGGGGAAAGGAATGAAGAAACAAGCGTCTCCATAATCGTGAAAACATCGGTCACTCTGTGTTTACGTTCCTTTCGAACAGATCGTGTCGAATGGGCACGTAATCGAACGAGTCGGGAATCCAGAACTCGCTTAGCCACTAGGCTTACGCTTTATCGGTAATCATACTTTTCTTTTTTTTTTTTTTTCTTTCCCTGTTCCTCGAACGTGCGAAAAAATTTTACCTACGACGAACCTCTACGCTCGATACTTCGCTCGCTATCGTTTGCTCGAAGCGAATCGATCCTTTTGTCCGACGCGATTCCCGAAGGGCGATTAACTCCCTAGGAGAGAGATTCCAAACCGGTTTCGAGTGAAGAGAAATGTCGAGCGCAGATGCCAAATTCGAAGAGCTATGTGGTTCTGCTATTGCGTGAACGAGACTAGCGAGAACGACGAAGGAACTGCATGGACAGTATACCGCTGCATAGAAAGGAACTAACGAACACGAAAAATTGTTGTTGTTAATGTTGTCAAACAAAAAAAAAACAAAAAAAAACATGTGTCAAATTAAAAATATAAGAATTTCAAACATCTCATAATCTAGTTCTGTGTTCGAATGGAGATCGAGGAAACACGCGTTTTCGAAATATCGTTCGTCTTTATGTATATAAAGTATGTACGCTTCGATCTAAACGGCGATTGCTTTCTAGTATCGTATTTTACATTACTTACAACACATTTCGATCGCTCGATTGCAAAACAGTTGTTACACGGAGAGAGGGAGGAAAAAAGGAAAAAGAGGGGAGGGGAAGAAGAGGGTTCATCTTCGGGAGCGTCAACTCGAAACCTTGGGACCACGATTTTCCATGCAGTTAATTTGTTTGCGATAAATATAGTCACTAGGTGCGGTAATTGCTTTCTTGCGTATAGCTAGCAGAACACTTCTAAAACCGTTGCAAACTGTGCATGTACAAATTAAAGCAAGGCACAAGTATATACAATAGCCGACGTTCGGTGAAAACTAACATTCATCCGTCTTCCAAACTCAATTGCAATTGTTTGTTTGTAATTTAATAAGTTAAAAAGAATTTTCATGTTAAGAGCAAACTAATATTATTTCATCACTTGTGCTGCTTTCTTTGCTTTGACGAGTTCGACCAGCTCCTGCAAAACGATCGAAATATAGAAATATAGAAATCGAAATATAGAAAAACGACCAATTTGCAAATATTACTTTCTCGAAAAACGTACCTTGTACCTCCTCATGCACTCTTTCTTCGTCCTGGTTGGAATACACGCTGCTATCTGATCCCATCTGTCAGGCACGCTGGTAGAGTAAGTCTTCAACGCTTGCTCCAAAAGTTTCTGCTCTGCAGGTGTCCAAGGCTCTTTCTTGAAATCTTTTTGCTCGAGACTGACACCGTTCGATACAGGATGATCCAAACGTTCCGTGACGGCTGGCATTCGATCCTCGACAGATTCCTTGGTCTTCTTCTCGGCAATGAAATTATCGTAAGCTTTTTTATTTGCTTGCTCCTTTAAACTGGATCTACTGAAGTCAGTCGACTGCAGATCTTTAGCCTTCGCAAGGACTTCCTTCGCGTCGCGCGTGACACCAGTGGAAGAAGTACTGTGTTGATTGATAAAGTTGGCAACTACCTCCCAGCGTTGATTCGTCCCTGCTGGGAATAAATTTACCGCCTTTATCAAAAGCTGTAAATCTTGCTCACTCCATGGAGCAGTATGGGATTTCACTTGCTTCTCCGGTGTGTTTCGCATATCGTTGGAAATAACGCCAGCTCTACGTTCAGCTTCTATTTTCTTCTCAGTCTCTTCCACGATACCAAGAAAAGCCGTTCTACCCTCGGTTTGTAATTTCTTCATCGCCTCCTCCAATTGAACCAACTTAAAGAGCTCGCAAATTTTTTCAACGCTTTCCATGTGCCTGATACTCTCCTCCGAGTTCTTGGCAAAGTAATTGTTGGCTTTACAAAAATCTCTCAGCGCTTTTCTCTCCTTACGGAGCGCCTTCTTCTGCGCCTCCTTCTCCTGTCTAAGCGCGTCCAGCTTCGCTTTTTCCTCAATCTCCCGTTTCTCTCTCTCCAGTCTTTCCTTCTCTGCAGCGTCCCTCGCTATTCTCTCTTCTTCTTGCTGCCTTGCTTTTGCCGCCTCTTGCTTTGCTTTCTTCGCCGCCGTTTTCTTATCTTTGTCCTCCTGCTGGAACTTTTTTATTCTCGGGTCCATGTTGTAAGCAGTGTCAACCAACGTACGTATACGAGTCATTTCCTCCTTCTTCCGTTTCGCTCGCGTCGCTTTGTTCTTCTTCTCGATCCACTTACGCATATCTCGGCTATGAAAATAATTACGTTTGATTATAAATGAGATATAACGTTAAGAAACGGCGACGGAAAGAAGTACGGCGAAAGTCGTAATCGCGGTATACTTACTCCTGGCCACTTTCTTTGTCCTCCTCGTCCAAATAGGAATATTCGCGCCACGAATCAAAATCGTACCAAAACGAATAAAATTTTTCTACTTTGTCCCTAGGTGTGTCCGGTCCACCCAAGCGCGGTACTGGCTTTTTCGTAGACCATCTAGCATTCTCTTTAAACGCTTTACCCATTACCACGTAGAAATTACTTTTACAGTCTTTCTCGTCTGGCAAATCGTCGCTAAAATATGGATCCACGCTGTCGTAACTCCGCCGTTTCATTGGATTTCCCAAAATCTCCCAGGCCCGTGTTATGCAGGTGAAATAATCGTCGTCCGCCCGGATTTCCTCGCCCATAGCCTTGCGTTTATCGGGATGGTGTTTAAGAATTTTCTGCTTATCTGTAATTCACGCATCAAATACTCCTCAACTGGGTTAATCATTGTATCAGGCAAGACAGTGAACGATATAACACCTACATTCCTTTACAGAGTAAACTTTGAACTTTCTCTACGTACAAGCCCTTTTTATAATATCTTCGGTTGCTCTGTGCCTGAGCTTTTTCAAGCCTAGCACTGCATAATGATCTTGATCTTTCCACTCCTTTGGGTCCAATGACCTAAGGTACTCCAAGTCATCTTCAAACTGATACTGTGAAAAATCTTCTTCGTCGGACGATTCCGATATCCTGGCAGGCATAAGACTACGATGAAACTGTGTTGCCCATGCTTGCGCGGTTGAATACAGGACTACAGGCCCGGCTTTACACGTTTCCATCCTCGATGAATCTGTAAGTTGTATTTTATAGTCTTTAAATTGATTATTTCTCTATTTAGATTTTAAAGTTGAAAGGCATTTCGTTTAACCTATATATATATATATTTATGCACTTGTGAAAATAAATTGTATTTTTTGCATGGCATGGTATATAAGTAAGAGATTCGTAACTTGTTGTTCCAAAATCTTTGAAAAGCATTATCGTTACAGTAATATTCCTCATTATTCGTAACAGATACTTACTGATTTACACGCAATATAAAAGTTGAAAGGAATTTTTTTTAAATGTTCGCGATGCCCTCATGCTACCTACAACGGTCGTGTTTCGAGAAACCTAACCTCACACCGCCGGTGTCAAGAGGCAATATTGGCAGAAAGTGCTAAAACTTACCAGATACTGCATTTAACTTAGCGAAATTGTTGTCATTTACATCGTTCGTCATCATTAGCTGTTAATAAAATGTTAACGTTTACAAATTATTTAGAAAAATTTCGAAGAAAACACAAACGAACGAACTATCGTATTACGGACATTTCGCTCCGAACGTGCTCCGAAACGACCACGTTACTTCGAGTTTCGTAGCTACATTAGAATGATGGCCAGATGACTATACAACCTACAAACATTGATCACATACCGAGTATGCATACTAGGTACATATCTATTCATTGGGTTATACAACAAAACTATTTATTATACCACTATTATTATACTGTTCATATACAATGCAATTATGCTTTTGAAAAATGTTGCATAATGCAAGGTTATTAAATTATACGCGTACGAAGATATCTTAACACGAATAATTAAATCGCATAATATAGCTTGGTGTTTATTTTAAATATATTTGGAAAAATATAATACATATTGTACGAAGAAATTCTGTTGTAAATATTCAAAAATACAAATATTTTTAATCGTACTTGTTGTTGGGATTGTACTTTGGACGGAAATAACACTTTTTGGATCATTAATCATTTCTATTAGGAAGACTAGGGGAGTATTTGATATTTTTCTTCCTTTCTCTCATGGTTGGCACAAACATCACACTTTTTCACTGTCTTTTTAAAACATACTCTGTGTGTGTATGTGTGTGTATGTGAATGTGTAAATACGTATAATATATGTATGTAAACTTGTAAATACATATAATATATGTATATAAACTTTAATAACATTCTTTTCTGAAACGATAACAAAACGTTAAAAATTCAACAAAAGTTTATACATTTTAAAAAAGAACGATGTCGTTAAAAAAAAACCATGCAAATTACTTAAAGATTCTAATTGTTAGTTGAAAATAAATTAAAGCCAGTGAACTATAAAGTAATTGCAATTATATATATATATATATATATATATATATATATATATATATATATATAAAACGATTGAAATATGTTGGATGAGCACTATGCAAGTATCGTCAATTATTTCGAACAATGTAATTAACCTCAACATCAACATTAGGAAATATCAAAACGGAAAAGCGTTTAATTATCTACTGATGACCAGGCGATGACAAACGTCTCTGTGAATGATACGGATTTTGCAGTAAACGTGGCGAACATTCAATTACTCGCAGTAACAGTGCATCTATGTAATCTTCCAAGTCAGTTAGGCGTTTTTTCTTTTCAGTTACTTCCGCCTGCAACTGTAGCGTCAACTCGATGAGGTCCTGCGTGGGGAAAATTTAATGGTTGCACGTTATTCTGACTTTTTTTTATTCTTCTTTTTGTAATTTAAACCAGCGATTTATAAATGATATAACCTAATTACCTCTCTTGATTTCCCTTCGAACTGTGCAAGGACTTCGTGCGGCAAGTGGCTTTTTATTGACGTAGTTCTAATCGCATCTTCACCTCCGATGATAATTCTCTCCCCAGACAAATTATTGTCGTCGAAATCTTTAAATTTATTCTCCTTCTCTTTCTTCTTATCTTTCCTCGATTGCTTTTCATCCTTAGGACTCCAACAATTATTTTTATCTTCCTTCTTTTCTTTAAATTTCTCCTCTTTCACATTCTTCTCCTTACTCGATATAAATTTCTCTTCAAGTTTGTTCTTTGTTTGTAATACTTCACGCGGCGCGGGGCTCGGAGTCTCTGAAACTTCTGGATTTCTCAAAGTCGAAGACGGTGAATGCACGGGTGACGATTCCCGATGTTCATCCTTTGGTTCATCTATCACAATTTTTGGATTCACTTTACTTTCCCATCTAAATATTGAAAAAAAAAAAAAAAAAAAGAAAAACGCATTAATACAATTGCTTCTATTCGATGAGAGGTTTTCAAATTTAGAGCAATTTTACTCACCTTTTGACATTGTTATTAACTTGTTTACCATAAAGCTTCAAGCCCCACTCGTCGTCTTTGATATTGTCCACTTTGGATAAAGAGGTGGTCGAAGCGCTCATGGAGAATCGCGGTGGTTTGTTAGGTGCGGCGTTTGTTGGCACCGGTGGAAGCTGATGTGCTTCGAAATTGTTGCTGGAGGAGTTACTCGAGGCAATCGAACCTACACTGTTGCTGTTGCCGACCGGAGCATTTAGAGACGATGCCGAGCTTTTATGAGACAGATCGTCAAACTGAAATATTCAGTTGCAATTATAATCCCTTGAATTATTATCAAAATGTTCTGCGAAAAATTGTAAGATAAATCCCCGTTTACCGTAAATTCATCCTCGTCTTCGCTAATCACGCCAGGATCAGCCTCTCCAGGTTCTTGCCTCGTTGTTCGAAACTTACGTTCGTCCCCTTCGTTCAGGTAGTCCCCTTTGTCCAGATTACTCTTGCTCTTTCCCTTCACGCGATTCCCAATCGATTTAGCCAATTTCTTCAAACCTTTACGCTTCTCGAAGCTACCGATACTGAGTAAACTTCCGCCGATCGAATGAGCAGCCGTAGATAACTGGCCAAGAGAGCTTTTGTGACGTTCTTTGTGACTCAGGTCGGTTAAACTACCAGCTTTCACGATGAAACCGATCTTCACTTCAAGCTCTCCTCTCTCTTTCGTATTTTCCTTGCCTGGTTTGCTCCCGAGTGTATACCTAGATAATTTTTGAGAAATATGTATGAATATTTATTGAAAGATAATCTCATTGATTTTTTTTTTTCCTTAACGTTTCAGTCACATCGTGAAGAAATAGAGAAAATATTACATCTAAAGTAAGAACATATCGTCTAAATATTATATCTCCAAAGAGTTGGGATGTTTTTCAGAAACATGTTTTTACAAACGATTGTTTACCATAAGGAGGCACAATATGCGACACGAACACAATACGATCTTGATTAATTAACACGACGGGGGAAAGTGAAATCAGACAACGTACCATCTATTCCTTGGCCTCTCGTACACATCGAAGCTGGAGAGAGGTATGCTGACGGTCCCGAGGAATTCGTCGACACCCAAGAAATTTCGATGAAGAGCCGTAAGGACTATCTCCGCAGTGTTTCCTTGTTCCGGTATAAGTAACTCGCATTCTTCGTGCCATTCCACATCCTTCGGCGCTTTCTCCTTCACAGACGTTTGATATTTCTCCTTGCCAAGCGCGATCGTCACGAAACAATCGTTGGTCTCTGCGTTATTAGGTTGAAGTAATTAACGTGGGTGGAGACCGATGTCAACCACAAGGTTAGGATTAACAAGCCACGAGACGAACATTAGCATCTCGTAGGGTTTAATGTCTACCTATTGACCGCATAAATTACTCGCAAGATTCCCTTCTCCCGGTCCCAGACAGGTTTAATTGTTCGTTTGAACAGATTGAACTTGTTGCAACGTAATATTATAATATTATCGCGCGATCATAGAATCACTTTCTTTTTGAAATTTCGCGACATATTTATTCTCACATTCAGAGTACAGGGTGCAGTATTTTGCACGAGTAAAGAGCACACGAATTTCTTCGACGGTGCTTTCAATTATTTTAGATTGTAGCTTTTCAAAAGGTTGTAAATATACGCACGAGCAAACCAATGTACGTATACGTATTTGGTCTGGACGATTATATTTTCTATAGATTGTAGACAAACGACGTAATATTCGTTTTCCATTGTTTTGAAATTAAACGCGCCTCGTTGAAAAAAAAAAGGAAACACTGACATCAACGAATTGCTTGCGCGTTGTCCCACAATCTGACACGCATGACGTAAAAAACTGCTAAAACGACTGTAATTTTCAGGTCGTTTAGTATTAGGTCATTTCACGAGTAATGTCACATACATGTGTACGTATGTAACATTAAAACATAAATATTTCGTCATATTGATGAACAACGAATTATCTGCTGTATGTAGTATTATATTTCAGTTTCTCGATCATTTGTTTGCTTTGAATATCACCAAAGCTTTTATCGTGCTAAGCTAACCACGTTATAATTTTGCAATTTTCAATTACAACGTAATTTTCAATTTACATCCATTTAATCCTATATAATTTGTAGAATTATAATTCATACGACTTGTTTTCTTTTATTCGTATACTTGTAAATTATAAAATCTTTTCAATAATATTGATTGAATTGTATAAGAGGTACCCAACGTGATGTGAAACTTGTGCCATTGTGTCGCAACGGTTGGTCAGGATACTTACTATGTTTTCCTTTGGTTAATAAGTTCTTTCCTCTTTGAACTGTAAAAAAAAAAAAAGAGGTTTATTAAAGAAGCATAAAACTACAGAAAAGAAACATGATGAAAGAGAAAGAGAAGAAAATAACATTGTTTGCTATAAAGCTTCAATATGTTATAGTTTTGACAGACACACAGTACCAACTATCGAAACTGAACAATTTTTTTTTTTTATTGAAACGTTTTTGCACTCATTGCCAGAAAGAAGATAAAGAGAAAGAGGCGTAGTTGCGGATAAATCGCCCCGCATGCGTGTTTTTTTATACCAGTGATAAAACATTCTACCATCTGGCTAGGACTCAAAATCATCATTAGGCTGTGCATAAATGTGTGAGATAATATTTTGTAAAAACGCATCATAGCTAACCAGCATGATATACATATATATAAAAATACGTATATACGTACATATATATCCTCTATCATAGTAAAACGCTAGAGAATTACATTTTTACCGCGAGATCTCATTTCTAGCGCATTGCTATTTTTGACCATCTCGCAATGCTTCTTTTTATGAAGGATGCAACGTCAGAAATAAATATACTAGCGCTGGCTAGCGTAAAATCGAGCATTTCAACTAGCCTAACATTTTCTAACAATGATTTATGCAACGAAACAAATGTCAACGCTCGGGGGGAATATCTCTACTGCGAAGCTTCTATAATAACATCTGGAATTGCATCGTACCCGGATCAACGATACATGAAACGTATTCGATGACCAACAGATTCGTATCATGTAAAATCGTACGGTATGGTATGGTATCGTATCGTTTTCTGCGATTTCTCGACGAACAAAGCCAATTGGATGGGAAAATCAACTCTCTCGCCACATGCTTCCACGACCCGGCTTACAGACGAAGCAGCCAAATACCGTTTACTCGGAAAGGAACATTCTTAACGGTCCGAGACTCTCAGCTAATTAAGTTGGAATACTTTTTTCTTCCATGAGTAAAAAATCCTGCAACCATGTAGCGCATAATGCCGTGCAGATTCTTACACTGAGTGAATCTGATTAAAAATACAAAAATTACACACGCACAAAGTTTTCTTCGATCGATCCTCGCGACCGACATTGCGACTTTTCAGCAAAAGTCAGATAGAACAAAACATATGATTCAGAGGTTTACTTATGATACGAGTGAAACTTATGGGCGCTTAAGGATACAACTACGATCCTGAAAAAGAGGATTCCAATACACGAGTAAGAAGGGGGGCATCAGCTGCTCCTACATATGCTTTCACACTCTACCTATTTTGCATTGGAACGAAAGTATTAAATGCTCGTCAACTCGTGACACTTTACTTGGTTACTAAGCTTGAAATTAATAACGAGAAAGACGATCTTCATAAATGTCCAAACGAATGGTAAGGATATTTTCCTCAAATCTTTTTGCACCGGCGTGCATTCGTCGTGCGAATTTTCGGAATTTCGTCGAGAAAAACAAGCGGGCCAGTATTCAGAAGTTGACTCATCGTATATGTAGGCGGTCAGTGGACGACCGCGCGCGATTTAAATACATACACGGTCTTTATTTCGGCACGACTCGGAGACGTCGCAGAATCGTGCGCCTAGAGTGAAAATATTTACATCCACCGAAGGAACTAGAGTGCGCAACTTCATGTGCGTGTGCGTGATAAAAAAAAAAAGGTGTACATGTAAGATCGCAATCTCTTCAATTGGAGAAGCGTTCGCTTTTCTCACCGCCCTCTTCCCAATCTTGTTTCATCGCGTTACGCGACACTGCGCTTCAACGCGACGAATATTTTCCTCGACATTCGCTTTTTTCATTTACAGCGACAAACGTTAGCCAAGAGGAATTATCACATTAACCATTTAAAAATCGTACCGCGACGATCGAGGTCGCTTAAGTAAGGCACGCGTCGTTGGCTATAGAGACGTACATCACACTTGCTTTCTTGACAAATAAACCATTCCTGGAACGGTTCAACGAGATTGTAAGGTTTCAATTGCCTACATTCGATACGAAGGATACGTAACCTAGCCTACGTACTGATGATAATTGGTTTACGATACGTCTGTTCCGATCAGGCGAATCACCTGCCGCGTAAATAACCTTATCCACCGCGTCTGAGAAACTTGCTTCCAAGTAACACTTACCTGTCACTTGAACGTGCGTTGGACTCCACATTTTGCTCGACTCGGTCACAGCGAATGGTTACAAATATTCATCTGTCGTCCTCCCTATCGAGAAACAAATCTACGTGTCAGTCACTGTCCTAATCCCGGCAATTGGCATTACGTGTTTCCATTTGCACGGTCCTACGCGTTACGGAAACGAACCACGTCAATAACAAACTAACCGCGTCACAATGTATCAACGGCAACTATACCTGACTACTGTTCGAACAACCGCTACGTCCGCCTTGCGCATCGCGCACCATTACGGTGACCACTGCGCATCCTGATTTGCGCATCCACCACGCTCGACCTTCAGGATCGTACTGTACATTCCAATAGCCCTACGCTTCAATAAATATAACCTGGGGCTTGGGTAAACATACCTTTTATTATTAATTCAACTCGAAATCAAATAGAAAATTAACTTTTTTGAAAAATTATTGATTTATTTATTTAGAATATATCAGCTACAAAGTAAATCTTCTTGATAAAAAATGTTATTCAAAATCGATATGAATCTTGAAAGATTCGATATCATGAGCCAATAATTTTATCAATTCTTATAAATGAGCTTTCTATTGTTCTTGTATATATCTGAAATAGAAATCACTCTGTGTAAGATTAAATTCTCAAAAGGAACATACATATTTAATAAAAGTGTAAAGTTGGTGGAGAACAGAAGTGCAGCATGATGTGCCTATACATAGTGCAATCATCGCGATTAGTCACCGGTAAAGTACGAAGATATATATACAAGCAGAAATTAGACGACTGAATATGCAAACACATGTGCGTTATTGTGACGATGAATAAGTAATAAGTACGTGCATCTAATTAATCTTCTGTAACTTTTTATGCATTTCCTATGCTCATAAATCTGATGCGTTTTCGTATTTAAATGATTGAATGATTTATTTATTTATTTATTATTTACATACGGAATTGGCCTATTACTTTAACCAGAATTACAATTTCCATAGTTCCGCACAACAAAGATAAAACATTTTAAAATTCAAGTGAGTAATTTCTTTATATAGATAAGTTTTTATTTAGAGAAATAAGAGAAAAAAAGAACAAACAACACCTTCCTCTTTAGAGAAAGAAACATTTTGTTTGAGTAATAAACGTAGCTGTCACGCATTCGAAGAACTCGAATCATTTCATGCCCATGTTATCAAAGATTCGTCACCATTATGTTATCGCATGATTTACCTTCTTTTATCACGACAAACATACTTAGATAGGTATTTATTTACCTGTCTGTTTTAGATTGACATTACAACAATTATTCGATTAGATCATGTTCACATATTAGATCATATTTGTTATTATTGATGTTTACTTTAGCAATTATTTAATTAGTAATTATGAATACTCATAATTGCATTTAAACAAAATACAAATTCTAATTTATGATTTATAATTCATATTATAATAAATATTAATTCGAGATCTCTTTAAGACCCGAGTATTAATGCTGTGGTTTTTTTTACAAGGTGTTTTGAAAGTTTGAAGGAATATTTTTTGTCACTACTCAAATTTGAATGTGTTTACTTTATTACACATATATAGACACTTGTGTCTACATCACAAATAGTTGTATAGATATTTAAGTATCTGGAGTCGTAAAGTTGTTTGCTAGAATTTTACTCCTCAAACAATGAACATACATTGAATCTCAAGAATTTTTCTACTCTGAGAGACATCTTACGTAGTATCTTAAATTTCATAACATAATATGCAATTTCGTATGATTAATTGTTCTTTACATATTTACGAAAAATTTCAAAATATGCCGATACAAGTTAATGGTTAATGAAAGTCATTCAAGCGATTAGGCTCCGATATAGACTATGATGCAAAAAAAATCTTTCTCCCTTCCTCAATCACTTAAAATTATCAATGTATCTTATATCGAAAAAAATTATCAATGTTTTTAGTATTTATATTTATAACATTTTTATCGATTATTTTTCATCCGTTGTACGATTAATGTAATTCTTGATTGATCAAATTCGCAGTTGCAACAGGTGTTTAGTCTCTTCTTTCAAAAAGCGACAATTGCTGCGAATAACTGTGGTTGATATTACGATATGTTCGTTAAAGCAACATTATCGGGAAAGCAATGTGTCCGTTACGATAATAATATAAAACCGACAAATTTTCATCAAGCTTTGTGCATTTTGCTTATAAATTTATTTCGATTTTGTTGATTTACCGATAGATGGTGCTACAGTAGCTGTCACGTGAATAACATCAGCGCCGAGACACCTCACTACCAACCATATCGGGCTAATCGACGTGCCGTGTTCACCTTCGTCCTCCTAGTTCTCATTCTCTCATTTCTCAGTCCTCTTTTTCCATACACAGCAACAGCGTCTCGCATGTACCGAATACTACATCGGCCGATTTCGATCGATCACACATTGGATTCACGATATTCCTGAGAGATCTTATTGTCAATTCGTTCCCGGCTATTAGTCACGTGACCTGGCATGCGCGTGAACCAACCTTTAAGCCTCGAATCCCCCACGCTAGTGATCGCCGATTCACTTGAATCCATGACGGTGCATACCGCCCGCCAGTCGGTTCGAATAATCGCCTCGTGGCAGGTGCAGAGAAAAATCGGCGAGGCTGAGCCTGCCAGTTGTCCAATCGCCTAGTCAACCAGCCGCCGTATGAGATACGGATCTCGAACCGTGGGACCGCGCCTCGATCGTCAATTTTCCACACAGAAAATTTTGTTACCGATTGCGGTGCGACACGGTGCGTAAACTTTCTCGTAGCCGTCCGCATAGCGCGTTACTTCACTTTCCTCGTCTTTAGTCGTTAGTCGGTCTCGATTTTTCGTTTCGTTTGATTTTTTTCGTCGTTTCATTTCGTTTAGTGCGCCAACGCCGCTGCTAGGGGTGAGATATGTCTTCATTGAAGAGTGATAAGATTCCGTGTGCACGGCTCTGCCATATCGTCAAGTGGGACGATTTTGACGGCTACGGGTTCAACTTGCACGCGGAAAAGGGGAAGAATGGTCAATTTATTGGCAAGGTGGATGACGGTTCTCCCAGTCAGGCTGCTGGTTTACGGCAAGGTGATCGAATCATCGAGGTTAATGAGATCAACATTGCGAACGAGACCCACAAGCAGGTTGTTGAACGCATAAAAGCCTTCCCCAGCGAGACGAAGCTTCTGGTGGTCGATCAGGAGGCCGACGAATATTTCAGGGCCAACAACATCGTTATCAAGGGCACCATGGCGAACGTCAAGGTGATCAAGACCCCGGAGAAAAATCCGAATAGTATTGTACAAGAAGAGCTCAATGGCAGCAATGCTTCTACAGACGAGGTGCGTAAATACAATTTTTTTCAAGTCGAATTATCTTTCGAAAGTAATTGCCCAACTAAGTTGTCCGACGTACGAAAAATTCCATTTGGTCTGAGCGAGTCGTTCGATCCACCTGTTGCTTCTATATATGTACGTATCGGTTGTTTGGCTGTATCTGTTCCCTCATTGTGATTTCTTACGTAGAGATCTCTCACACGTTTACCAGGTAGGTGAATCGTTACCAACGCATCTTTCGTTTCGAATCATTTTCAGAAACGTTTTTAGAAACTGTCAGACGTCGTGAAAGTACCGATAAAGTGCCGTAATTTACCGCAATTTACAAAGTTTTAAAAATCGAAGATCATTTAAACAATCAGAAAACGCATAACTTCGTTTTCGCTAATATACCGATTTAGCCAAAGACTGATATATTGCTTCCTTCGCGGTAGTATGTTTAAACATGGGTCACATGAATGCGTCGATTTAGCTAAAATGATAAACCATGTTCGTGCGACATATTTCTTGTATCTCACCGCGCGTGATCTCGTCTACTATGAGGAATTTTTATTTCACAAATTATCTTGACATAACAACTGCACCGTGATTTATGGGAAGAACATGTAATATCATTGTTCTTTGAAAAGAACAATCCTTAAAAAACAACAGTCGTTTTTTACATGCATATTTAGAAATAAACCTATTACAAGCGTATCACGAGGTTGCGATTTCGAACATCTGTGTTTACCGCACTTGGCTCGTAGAAAAAGGTTAGCGCGCCATACGTGGAGAATACCGTCTCGTCGCACCGTATATATAGTAAACGAACACATGAACAAATAAGTAAAAAGAGGGAGTTTCAGCTTTCTGCTTTATACTTCAAAAATGAAGATTATTTATTAATATGTAAATCTTATGAAATACATTTATCAGGTTACACTTTCTGTCTCACAATTCATTCAAAACTCGAATTATTTAACGTCAGAAAAAGACGTTAAATAATTTGACCATCTATCCAAATAATGTTTGGCGAACAGATGTTACTATTGTTCAAATAGTATATACTGTATACATACTAGTGTTTACGTACTTGTGCATATACTCTTTCAGCACGGTGGACGTTTTAAATTTAAAAATAAAAAACCACCGCGATATAGTATCTCGTATGCTAGTTTCTTTCTGATAAAACACCGTTGAGTGATAAAACGTTAGATTTTAGTGTCGCTATCGCAGCCTCCGCGGATATTCATCCTTCTTTCATATCTCCTACATGCAACTGCTGCTTTCCATTGAATTATTTTTCATGCAAGGTATTTTTACTATTAACATATATTTTTCATATATTTTTATATTATTTGTAATATATAAATATAAATATATACATTTGCTACATTTATCATATTTTTAATTGTCATTAGTCATCATTTTTCAAAATCTTTCACTAAAGATTTTGTTTGTGAAATCAGAACGAAATGCGGATATAAAAGATCAAAGACTATGTACTACAGAATTAAAATTCCCTAGATTAATCGTGAACGTTTGTACAAATTTGTACGAGTAGATGTAACTTAAAAAATAAAATGTAGGTAAATATTTGAATATTTTATACATCTTTGTGTATACATTCAAATTGTCTATAAATGTATGCGTATTATCTTTGTTCCAGTATCCTAGATTTATCCAATCATGGAAAAAGCAAGAATTAGTCGATTCACAATTAATGTTATTGATTCACTTTTAACATTTAACACAGTGGCGAACGAGCGGATTAAAAATTTAATAAGCGACGGTGTGTTTCGTTCGTACGTTATTTACTTCATCGCGTCACGTCCGAGAATTTTTTAGCTCGATACAAAGCAATATCAAACACTTGGGAATTTTTTCTCAAGGTCTCTGAATCGCAGTCTTTCCTCCTTAACGATTTTACCTCTCTCCTCCCCCTAGCAACACGACGTTAGTAGAAAAACCAATTTTCTTATTTCGGCTTCAGTTTCCTTGTTTCCGCCGATTGAATCACTGCTGCAGGAAGGTGAGCGTTCACGAGCACCGAATGAGTCACTCATTTGCGATAAGACACGTAGAAAAGCGTATCGCGGTTCGTTTCTTGCCCGTTTCTCTCGATCGATTCTCGCAAACAGAATTGCCAAACAAACGCGTGACTGCATTTATCGGGAGAGATTTTTTTTAGCCGGTTATCAGATCGAGAGACGAAGTTCTCCTCGTGTTATGAACGGTATCACACCGGTAGGTGTTCTCGGATGTAGCAATTATTGTGTTAATCGACGGAAGTTGCTCCTTTACAAAATAGTACGTCACTGGCCTTAATTCGTCTTCCATGGGATCTACGCGTTCGATCGTCTTCCCGAGATAGGCTCGATAGTCCCACGAATCCGATCACGGTAACTATATCTCGCGATCGAAAGATTCGTCCTCCGTCGATAGGATTCACCGGATATCCGGTCATTTTTGCGGCGTAAAATTACGTAAATTTTCGCGTTGTTCCGCGCTACGTAATCGAAGACGCACGCGGTATACACTGCATATCTGGTACTTGCGTTATAAAACCACCCTAAAAATTTCAATTCCTATATTATTACACTATTATATATATATAATACTATATACTATTATATTATTATATATATATAGTATTATACTATACTATTATAGATATACGGGATAAATACATATTGTACCTTGAATTCAATTTTATTCGATTTCACAATAAAATATTCTATTACGTTGTTTCTATTTAAAAAAGAGAGAAAACAGAATGGTTTCCTGCTATTATTCCGTTTTCCGCGAATATAATCTATCCTTGTTTGGGGAAACATTGTCAAATCCTCTGACGATACTACGCAGTTTTCATCCTCGAAACAAATTATCGTAAAATATACTTAATACATTTTTTTATTTAGAATTTAATGTTCTTTCGTTTTACGATGAAAAAAAAATGTGGTTCAATTAAAAACAAAAAAAAAATTACCTTGAAAATTTCGAAATTCCTCAACAAGTACAAAAAATTGATACGCTATATTTTACATTCCCTGAAAACCATTATACAACTTTTGTGTTAAACAATTTTTCATTAGACGCGTAATTTAAAAGTTATTTCAGACGTGCGAGTGACGTGAATCACCGTGTATAATGATTTGATTTCTCAATACGATGACATACATTCATTATAACGATGGTAAATTTTAATCTCAAGGTATGGAAAAATAAAATTGTATGAATAACGTATGCGATTTTGCATAATGAAATCTTATCGTATCCCTGTCTATATAATAATTGAAAGTAAGACGGTTTTATAAATAATGAGACATACAGAGTACAAGAGGATTAAAAATTTAAATTAATCTTATCTGCGCAATTATGAGATGCAGTCCGATACAAAACAGAGCAATGTGATACAGTTGAATTAACGTGTTACACAAACTTGCTGGCCAATCTGCGACCAACTCGATCAAACGTCCGTCGTGATTTACAATTTAAAAGCTCGATCACTCGTGCTAGCAAGCAATTAATTGCATCTGTATTGTGGCTACTGGTCAAACTTCCTGTCACCATTTTCTATTGCGCAATAGAGCAGCTGCGCGGCGTGCACGGTGCACGAACGAGAGGGAAAATCGTTTGTACGAGTTGAAAGAATTACGATCGTTAAAGAAATTTTCCACGAACGGTGGAGAAGAAGGATGGTGAGAGGACTAACGACGCTACACGGTAAAATCGGCGACGACGATACTTTCTTGGCAGCGGCTAGCTTCAAAAATCCGTTATTTGCTCTTATTCGATTTCTGTGCGCCGCGTGTTCGAGCGATTTTCAAAGAGAGCATGCCAAAAAGCATGCAGGTCGAATGTATATGCAGATAACGGGGGATTTCCCTGTAGAAAAGGAACCGGGCCACCGGTTGCGCATCGTTCGAGAATAATCCTCTGTTCGGGGAATAATTAACCTCTTGAGCTGGAATGACGTGCCACGCACGACGAAAATTGTTTATTCCAAAACTGATATTTTCTCAGTTTTAAATATATTTAAGTATAACCAAATATACAGGCAAAACAAATAATAAATTTATTATATTTCTCAATAATTTCTATCCGGTGAGTTCAAAAAGAAAGCGACGAGTATATTGTATACGGTTTGGTCACTCGTTATGGTCCGCAATCAGTTGCCAGCGCAAGGAGTTAACCTCTTACGTAGCGCTGGAATGACCGTGCTACGCACGTCGAGAATTTTTTTCCCAAATTGCACTATTTTCTTAGTTTTAAGTATATTTAAATATAACCCAGGCAAAACGAATAATAAATTTACTACTTCTCAATAATTTCTATCCAGTGATATACCGACGAGTTCGAAAAAAAAAGCGACAAATTACTGCATACGTTTCGGTCACTCGTTATGGTCCGCAATCAGTTGCCAGCGCAAGTGGTTAAACGTACGAATACACGAAAAATCGTGGACACGATTATTCAATCTGTCCATTTTAACCATTCGATTTTACACCCTTTGGTAATTTTTTCTTTTTTCTTTCTTCTTCCCTATCCAATAATAATTATTCTTTATTTTTCGAAAGGAACGTGTACAAGGACGTTGCTTCCGTCGTTATTTCGAAAGGAATTAGACGTAAGAAATTATTTGCCTGCCATAAAAATCATAGTTACGATTGCATAGTCGCGATTTTGCTCGATTGCATACAATATAGAAGCTCGTTATTGGAATTAATTGAATCGCGGGATACCGCGGGCGGCGATGCAACAATGCCGCGACATAGATTCTCAAAGTTTTGTGGAGAGAGGTTACATCATCTTGATCTATGTTGGCTACCAGTCATTCACGATATTATTGGATACCGCGCGATCTCCCACATTATTCCTCGTTCTCCGGTGCAGCTAAAGTCTCGTTTTCAAAATTAATTAAATCAACGCGAATTTAAGCAAGTTGAGATCATTTTACCAGCGTAGATCTGTACATGACCTGACTCTTGAAATGTTGTTTCAAGTTTCTACGCCTGTTCTTATCACTTGCTTACTGTTCAGACTAATCGAGTTTTGTCGAGCATTACGTATAAGTACATAAGTTCATATAAGTTCAACTAATTAACTTAGTTAACGAGTTAAAGTCTCGTTTAATTAACCAAGTATTTGTATACACAAATTGAAGTCGCTCAAGTTAGAACAGCTTGATTCCAAGAAGACGATTTCAAGAAATCGATGATCGTTAATCATAATTATAAACATGAGAGAAATATCAGTATATAAGAATATTAATGATTGAACGTGAAATTTATAGAAGGTCGAGCTGACCCGAGACATCAATATCAATAAATATTGTATGAAACTGGAGATAATTTAACAACTCAATTCGCTTTAATTTAACAACTCAAGAAATAACTGAAAGAGACTTCAACTTGAGAGCATGTTTCAAATCGAAGACGAAACGTCTCAAATTTTCTTCAGTTGAGAAATCGCGAGTGGATTGGACGATAAACGTGGAAACTCAAAGATGCATTTCGAGTCTGGTAAATGATGGTTTTACACAGATAAGTCTAAGTTTAAATAACTCGATCAATTCTCGAAGGAATCTTGAGCGATCGTTGTGCCGAGAAGAAAGAGTTCCCGCGAGTTTTAAGATGGTGTTCGGCTTGCGATTGGGAGGGAAAAGTGAGTTTTTTTCAATCGTGGCGGGCGATAACAGGCGCACTGTAGAAGGATAAGCCGACTAACATTATTTCGAAGAGATTTAAACGGTCTGCGGTTTGGAACCGGTTTTCCATCGCGCTCTCGCCTCTGTAGCTGATGGAATTCCTTTAAGTACCGTTCGGAATATTGCATCAGGAACCAAGGTCGTTGCGAGTTCCTTCCACGAATTTGCCCGTAGTTTTTGACCCGTGTGTGAATCCCTGTCCGGATCGCCTCTCGAATCTCTTCATTTCTCTCCCAGGGGAGGAGAACAATGCGACCGGTGGCAAACGAGTCTATTAATTGCCACGCTTTTACTTTCTATCGGCAGCCGTTAAGACGAAACACTTTCTGTTTTGTGCAACGGAAAATTAAAGTGTCTCGCTCGACCGCGCCCTATTAATGTCAATTTTCCCTCACCGCCGAAAATTCAGTCAATCTCTTGAACAGACGTTTGAAAACGTCTTACCTCCCCGTTTATAACAATATCTTTATTCACAGGGTCTGCTATATTTTTACTATGCTCTTTTGAAGTAAAATTGATCCAATTTTACTATTATTTTTCAATTTCACAGTTGTTGTAACACTCGTGGGAAATTTAAAGGTGTAAAACTGTATAGAATGTACGTAAAGGATGTTCAGTGCCATATTTACTAGATGAAAGGTTTAGTTTAACCACTCGCGCTGGCAACTGATTGCGGACCATAACGAGTGACCAAACCGTATACAATTATTCGTCGCTTTCTCTTTGAACTCGTCGGTATGACATCACTGGATAGAAATTGAGAAGTAATACATTTATTATTTGTTTTGCCTGGATTGTACTTAAAACTGAGAAAATATTGCAATTTTGGGACAAAAAATTCTCGACGTGCGCTAGCAACTGATTGCGGACCATAACGAGTGACCAAACCGTATACAATAGTTNCGTCGCTTTCTTTTTGAACTCGTCCGTATAATATCACTGGATAGAAATTATTGAGAAGTAATAAATTTATTATTTGTTTTGTCTGGGTTATACTTAAATATACTTAAAATTGAGAAAACATTGCAATTTTGGGACAAAAAATTCTCAACGTACGTGGCACGTCATTCCAGGGCAAGAGGTTAACCACTTGCGCTGGCAACTGATTGCGGACCATAACGAGTGACCAAACCGTATACAATAATTCGTCGCTTTCTTTTTGAACTCGTCCGTATAATATCACTGGATAGAAATTATTGAGAAGTAATAAATTTATTATTTGTTTTGCCTATTTTGTTTTACTTAAATATACTTAAAACTGAGAAAATATTACAATTTTGGGACAAAAAATTCTCGACGCGCGTGGCATTCCAGCGCAAGAGGTTAAGTTTACTAAATTTAAATTGCGTTTCTGCAAAGTATGAACTTGCACGAAAACTTTTGGGAAAGAACAACTCGGTGAACGATGCTTCTGTTCATTTTTTTCCTCAGTGGCGACTGATTTTTTTCTGTTGCTTCGTAGTAACGCATACATATTTACATATGTATTTGGGAGAAAAAAAAGTAGCGCGACGCAACACGATCGGCCTTGATATGTGACACGAATTCCTTTTGCCTTCTATCATTTAGCTGCCGTTTCTTCTTTTTTTTTTTTTTTTTTCCTCAGTCTGCTTCGTTCTTCTCTATTCTTCTTCGTCTCTCCTCGCACACGGTATAACACGAACGAGTAGGAATGCGCGAATTATGCTGGTAGATAGGAAAAATGAATAACAAGTGTCTGTATTTTTTCAGAACGCGCAGAAATCAAGCGGTTCGAACGAGACCTCGCACAGCGAGAGCAGCACGAGGACTTCAAACAGGAGCGAGAACGGGAACGAGAACGAGAGCGAACGCGAACGCGAAGGGGCTGGTCGTGAAAACGGGAACAGCATTAGGAACGAAACGACGATGGCGCACGTGCACGGCACCGGGAACGGGAACGTCACCAACGAGCCACGGCAGGGTTTGAACCTGAAGATGAGCGCCAAAGAACTTCGAGCTCAGCTAGCCGCGCGCAAGAAATACGACCCGAAGAAGGAGTCGATTGGTTTCAAAGACAAGTTCGACATCGTGCAGAAGTTATAACCGTCCTTCACTCCTCTCCCCCCCCCCCCTCCCTTCCCCCTTCTGCCCTGCTCTCGTCCTCCTCTAGTTGGATAGTCTTGTCGGCTACGCTGCGCGATGCTCCTTATCTCGCTATTAGTAGTTCGAATCTTTGCATCCTCGACGATGTACATATACACTTATCTGGATGGACGTAAAACATTGTCAATGTTCACAAGCGCACGCGCGTGCACGTGCCTCGTATAGTGGCTCGCGAAGGTATTTGACTACTTGTAGAAACGTACTACGAATATATATTACGCATACGTGTTGTACGAATTATGTTTCGAAATTTTACTAATAACGTATAATATCCATGAAAATTATCCATAGCGAAAGTATTCGAATGCTTTCGCGAGCTGCTGAATAGAAACAACAGGAATAACGCGAAATTCTCGAAATTCTAAATGCACGTACGCAGCGTGAATTATATGCGTGCACGCACGCTGGCGTCCGGTTGAAGTCGGATCGTTTGGTAAAATGTCCAGGCGGCAAACGCACGAGAACGTTTCTAAATTATTCGAAAGTCTGAACGTTAGAACGCATTCCGAATCGATCGATCGTGAAAATAGTTTCTTGTTCCATTAGATATACAGTTGTCCCGCTAGCTACAGCGAGGATTGCGCGCACCAAGGACGATCACGACGACACACGAGAGAAAGTGTAAGACATTGCGTGACGTACAACGCGTAACGCGCGCGCGACGTCCGTAATTTTTATTAAAATTAAATTAAATTTTTATTAATATTAAAATTAAACGTATCGCTCGATCCCTCGGTTGTGTTGTACATTGTGTTCTCGATGCGAGAACGAATATTTGACGCGGAAAGAAAGATCCACGTAAAAGCAACCGATATTTGACACTAGCGAAGACTACGCCGACATTCAAGCGGATTATGTAATCGAAGAAATGTAACGGTGTGCAAAAATACGGCGACACAATAGTGGGAAGGCTCGAGCAGATTTCCACGATCGTTGGAAGTCTCGCGGGAGATCAGTCGAGAGAGTCGCAGGATTCGCAGGAAACTCGGGTACTCTCTAACCCGACATTGCTAAACATTACGACAACTCGTTGTGCAACTTTCAATTATCGTCGTCGTGATCCTTTTGCGTCGTGCCTTGTACCTTATACGAATACCTGCAACCTAGTTGTTTTGTTCTCTTTTTTTTTTTTTTTCTCTCTTTTTCGTTTTCTTATTTTTACGAGCGTTTTTTCCTTCCACGCAACATGTCACAAGCCTACGCTACGTTGATTCCGTCTTACAATCATTTCTTTAGCCACGATAAGTATCGATTGATAAAATACGCGGGAACGTGAAACGAAGCGTTTATTATTATTATTTTGATGAAACGTTGCAACGAAAAGAAATGATTTATTGTTGATTTTTTTCTTTTTCTGTTTTTTTTTTATTGTATTTTCGGACGCGCAAATTCGAGACTCAATGATTATTTTTATTGAAACATTTTAGTCAACCAATGAATGTTAATGTATTGCATTTAATACCTGATCGATAGTTTGATCAAACGTCACGTTTCATGCGAATGATGTGATATGAATATTGATAACAGGATTTCTATATGACGCCATTTTACGATTAAAGTGCGTTAAGTTTCTTAGAAACAACAACGTTTTCGTACAACAACAAATGTGTCTATTTCTATTCCAACATAGATTTAATAAGAATATGTTTAATAAGAATATGAATTGTAACGTGGACTCTTATCCACTTAAAACTCTTATCCGATAAAGATGGTTGTTTGATTTTATTTATAACTTGTATCTCGTTGAAGCTATTGTTATCTTATTATCAACCATGTTACGTGTAGTAAATATATAAAAAAATATTCTCTGTCTTGCGATATCTTCGATGATATGAATCAGAATAGATTTCGTGTAACAGAAACATTTTAGTTGTAGAAAAAAAAAGAAAATGGTAATTCTAACAATGATTTGTTTTTGCATGGCATCTTGCATATTGAAATTCGAATTCTGCGATGTCATGTATTTTTCGTCCAACAAAGACGATAATCTGTAGTCGTTATTAAAGATCTTAATTTGATCGCGAGTTGCGACCGATGACAGCGTGCGCTCATATGGAAGTTGAAACAGAAACCGATCGATAGCGTTTCCGCTCAAGGTAAATTCGATCATCGTGATCTATCGGTTTGTGCTCTGCACCGAATATGTGTTGTGTAAATTCTTACGTATTCTCCCCTCGTTTTGTCTCGCAATACCTTTGCGAAATTCGAACGCGCAAGCATGTTCATTTCTGTAAATATTAGATCTTGGTGCGTCAAGGTCGGTGCAACGATCGAAAGAATGAACGAATCATCACCTTCATGGCTTATTTCGCATAATTATTTAGATCGCTGGCCGTCGATATACATATGCACCACGCCGCTCAAGGCAATTTGCGATATTTCTGCTATTGTTGTATTGAAAACACGAAATCAGTGAGAAATTAAAACTGTGAGTTGTATTTCTTGGACATTTTGGAGCGTTAATTTTTGCACCGAATCCTTGAAATGTATATATACATATGCTCTGAATAAGGGTTAAATACACACGTTGTTACGATTATTGCACACATTCAATGTACTTTGTAAGCCTAACTTTAAGCATTATGTTTGACGACAAGACTTAATTGTACGTTATTCATCAAATTATGTTCATTTACGTACGTCACTGTATAAATAATATTGTACGTATGTGACTCACTTTATTTCTTACAACCTTCCTTTGTCATTATCTAGTACTTGCATATCTTGATATTAATAATCAGCATAATATGTAAATTAAACGCTATTTACATCTGTATCAAAATAAATACATATGCATATGTATATTATCTATAATGTAATATTAATTAACTGCTAGTCAAAATACACATTAGTCGATATAGTTTTTATTTATTCCCATTTACAGCTCAGAATCACCTCGAATCATTAAAGAATTAAACAACTCAAATGACACTGTTAAAAATTGTAAATAATTCTTTATTTAACAATCTTTTAGAAATTACAATATGTAAAGTTATCTTACTATGTTACAATATAATTTAAAATTAGCATCAGGAGTCGTTCGTAACATAGCTCTGCTATAAAATTGTCTCGTTTGAAATAAATAGAGGGGATGTTTTTATCATTTCGTAAATTTAAATCAAGCTACTATGTATTATAACAAGAATGATGAAGTAGCGAGAATTCTATTGCTAATATTTCAATAAATCTTTGATTAAAGGTAATTGTCTTTAATTGCGATAATAATAATGTTTCTGATCTTTGACCTTAACAAGAAATAACAGGAACTTTAGCACGACGTTCTAGCATGAGAAATATATGAAGAATAGTTGTATCCGGCAGGAATTTGTCGAAAATGACTCTCACCATGAATTGGCAATCAGTTTGAGTAATAATTGTACATAATATGTTCTTGGTGAAAAGTAAAGAAACAGAAGCAAACAGCCAAGGATTATCAATAGTATTAATCAACAGCTTTTTACTTAAAACGAAAACGATATGAAATATTATATATGTTATATAAAAGTTATAAAATATATTATTATCATTATACTTATTATATAAGAATTTACAATTAACACATCACAAATTAATTCTAAATATTATTAAGATTATAAGATTATTACAGAATACAGAATCTTCCTTAGATTCTCTAACTTATTGTACTTATGAAAAGTTCATAAATTTTTTCGATATATCATGCACAAGTTCATTGCATCAGTCTTATATAAATACATACATACTATGTATACCTAATATATACAATACATATGTATAATAATGAAATGTGCAAAAGTTGTCAATTACTTCGATTAGATAAAAGTAATCGATAAGATAAAGATTCATGCCCAAAGTTATGTGTGAATTTTACTGTGCATGCTTCTAATTTGACCTAAATTTTGTATATCGTTTATGAGAAAATAAGTATCACTGAAACAAGAGAGAATGCTTTCATCTGTTGAATAGAATTTATAAATCTTCATAGGATGAATGAAATATAAGAGGAAAACAGTGAGTCTAGCATGGAATACGCAGTTATAAAAAATTCACAAATTAATCTTCTTAATTAGTTTTTTTTCTTGCAAATTAGTGTGAAGTGCAAAGATTTAGACATGGTGGTACCATCTGTAAATTCTGGATGCTGATTAACCTCGATCTCAAGCGAGATGTATGATTTCTCGTTTGTTTTGATCATTTTACTTGATGTAGTTTTCCAATTCACGTTGTTTTAACGCAGAGTGCGCTAAAAAACCACCTTTTTTACCATGTCGGTATTTCAGAACATAGGAACGAAGTCTTATAAAATGCAACATCTATGCACAGAAATCCCATAAAATGCAAGATCTATATATAATTATATACCTCGTTCTGTGCACATAATTCGTCTGTGTCTGTGACTGAACTGAATTAATAAGGGTCTGTAATGAAATGTCGATAAATTACCCACTGAGTTTATAGTTTTATAGATTACAGATGACGTGACCTGCCTGCGCCTATCTTCACGCGATACAAGTTATACAAATCGATCCATTTGTTTACGGAGGTCGTCTGCTATCCGATTGCAGTGTTTTCAGATTAAACACTATTATGTTCTAAATCGTTCGTTTATGTGACTTTAAACGGAAACAAAGCTGCAATGCCGGGGACTGAAGTCAGTATCGTTATATATCTTAAATGAAATTACACGTCTTAAACGGGAGATATTAAATATTTGTTTGACAGTTCTGCCTGTTAAGTCGTATCATTGTCAATACAATAATTATATTGTTAATTGGATATTTGAAGGAAGAAAATACAGTAGATATGAATTGAGACTTTTCGATATTTTGTTCCTTCGTTTCTCCTATCGTATAAGCTTTTTCGCACGGTGTAATATTCTCGCATTGCTTAATGATGTAACGATTCTTTATCTAGGACAGTACGACGGAACTCGGGGAAATAGAAAATGTCAGGGTTGTGGTCCGCGTTCGACCTTTGAATGGAAAGGAGTTGGACGGACACTGTAGGAACATAGTACGCGTGGACACGATCAACAGCGAAATAACAGTTGAAAATACGAACGCTGCGCAAGGAGAGCCGCCAAAGGTTTTCTCATTCGACGCTGTCTTCGATACCGATTCCACTCAGGTTGATATATACAATGAAACTGCAAGACCTATCGTGGACAAAGTTCTCCAAGGGTACAATGGAACGATATTCGCGTATGGGCAAACAGGTACTGGTAAAACCTACACCATGTCCGGTGCAAAAACATCACCGCAACTCAGGGGCATCATACCCAATACCTTTGCACATATTTTTGGACACATAGCCAAAGCTCGTGACAACCAAAAGTAAGTATTTCTTGCAACAAACTGTACCTCATTGGTACTTGACTGTTTATTCAATGTTTAATCGACAGATTCCTTGTTCGTGCGACTTATTTGGAGATTTACAACGAGGAAATCAGAGATTTACTTGGCAAAGATCAAAATACCAGACTGGAAGTGAAGGAGAGGCCAGATATTGGAGTATTCGTAAAAGATCTCAGCGGCTATGTAGTCAATAACGCTGATGATCTAGATCGAATAATGTCTCTTGGTAACAAGAATCGTAAGTACTCAGATATCCTTACAAAGTACATCAATTTTGTAAGTTAAGTATTAATGCAAGTTCTTATAGTAATGAAAATGTCTGCACTTCTTACATTGTGCACGATGAACTGTTACAAATGTTCTTATATAATGCATAGGTGTTGTTGGAGCTACAGCAATGAACGTATCGAGTTCACGGTCTCACGCAATATTTACAATAACAGTTGAATCTAGTCAGCTTGGAGAAGATGGCGAACAACACGTTAAAATGGGAAAACTTCATTTAGTTGATTTAGCTGTATGAAATTCTTATTCTTATTCTTACTATCGCATTGTATTTTAGTTTTAATTTTTCCTCTAAGTTGCACCTTGGTGTTCTATAGGGTTCGGAAAGACAAAGTAAAACGAAAGCTTCTGGAGTTCGTTTAAGAGAAGCCACGAAAATTAATTTATCACTCTCCACACTAGGTAATGTAATATCTGCATTAGTTGACGGTCAGAGTTCACATGTGCCTTACAGAAATTCCAAACTCACGAGATTACTGCAAGATTCATTGGGTGGTAACTCAAAAACGTTAATGGTAACTTCATTAATTTTCCTTTTTTCCCCACGAGCATTGTATCATCATGTAACAATTGTATCAATTATCTTCATTTAGTGTGCAAATATCAGTCCAGCAGATATAAATTATGACGAAACTATCAGCACTCTTCGTTATGCGAACCGTGCTAAAAATATTAAAAATAGAGCGAGAATTAACGAAGATCCAAAAGATGCTTTACTTCGGCAGTTTCAAGTTGAAATCGAGCAATTACGCAAACAACTGGAGGAAAATGGTGCCGAAATCTCTGAATCTGAAGATGAGTCTGAAGACTCTGAAGAGACAGGAGAAAAAAGACACGATAAAAAAGCCCGACGTCGGAAAAGTCAGATATTGACGATGGAAGAATTAGAAGACAGAGATATAGATTCCAATGAGAAGATAGATAAAGCCGAAAGAGAAGATAAAAGTCCCGACGACAAAGACGTGATCGAATTAAAAAGAACTCAGTAAGTTTTTAGAAAATTAGTTAAAGGATACTGATAAAAAGCATTTGATAAGTATTGATCATTCCAGGAGCGAAAAAGAAGCATTACGCGAGAAAATGCAAAACCTACAAAACAAGATCTTAGTCGGAGGTGAAAATTTGTTGGAGAAGGCAGAAGCTCAAGAGCAATTGTTGGCTGCTGCGGCAATTGAACTTGAACAACGCAAAAGTAGAGAAGAACAGCTAAAAAAAGCTATCGAAGCAAAAGAAGCTGAACGTATCGACATAGAAGAGAAGTATTCTTCCTTGCAAGAGGAGGCAGCTGGGAAAACTAAAAAATTAGCTCGCGTACATACGATGTTAATGTCCGTCAAGGCAGAGTTATCTGATTTACAGCAAGAACATCAGAGAGAAATGGAAGGGCTTTTGGAAGGGGTCAGAGGTATTGGACGAGAGTTGCAACTTCAAGAGCTAATAGTAAACAGTTACATTCCTGTTCAGTATCAGGTATGAAAATACAAAATTTCATGAAGAAATATTGAGCATCTTCACTAAAAAATTTCTATGTCAATCTATGTCTATTTCAGACGATGATCGAAAGATATGTTCATTGGAACGAAGATATTGGAGAATGGCAGTTGAAGTGTGTAGCGTATACAGGTAACAATATGCGCAAAGCGCAAACTACGCCACCACTGGGAAGTAATAAGGATGTATGTATGAATTTTATAAATTTGACTGTTAAAGTCATCATATTTATAATTATATCGATTTCCAGCAAACTCAACCTGACATGTCAAATATATATCTCTCTTATAACAATGGAATCGACAATACTTTCGTGCAACCGAAAAAGGTAAGAGGCCGATCTGGAGTACCAAGGCCAACTACAGCACATAGACGTACACCACATTAAAGCTATGTTTAATCTATGAAACGATAAAAAAGTATTTATTTTTCACTAAGTATCTTTTTTAGCATCTTTTTAAAGACATTATTCTAATTTATTTTTGTTTATACGGTATTAGTAGGAAATCAGTATTTTTTGCATTTTTGCAATTATATATTTATTTCTATTTTTAATTAAGTATGTTCGTATTAATCTAAAGTATTACATAGAAGTAAACGATATATATATATATACGATATAATAGGACAATATTTAATTAACAAGGTCGATTTATTATAAAAATTATAATTTCTGTGCTGTAGAATCATTCAAGTACAACTTGAAATTAATTAATACGAATTAATTATTTAATTTTAATTTGCTGATTTACATAAATTATTATATGATGGAAATGACAACTTAATTTGATAAACTTTAAGATTAGTTTGACTCGGGTGATTTTCATACATTATACACATCATGAAAAGAACAACTATAACACTAAGATTTTATGTTTTATGTACTTAGATACATTTTTCTGTGATGTCTATGAAATATTAGATGACGAAATTTGAATCAATAATATAAACTTTCATAGAAACTACATTTTCATATTTAATAGCATGCCACATAAGTTACTATTAAATAGAGAATTGGTATAAAGATTTTAGAGAGAAAAAAGTATGTGCTGTACCTGTGTGATAAAAAATAAAATGTTTTGCTCGATATAGGAATATTAGAGATAAATGTAACTAAAAACAACAAGAATGCAATCTTCGTCAAAAACTAATCAATCTTGTGTCTTTTTACATTGCCATTTATGTATATTTTGATAAAGACTAGATTTCTTAGCTAATAATAATATTACAGTATTTCTACAACATTTTTTTATTTAAGCATTTTATGGTAATTTTTTGAAGAAAACAAAAGTAATTTGAACTTCATTTAAAAACTAATGTGTATCAATGTCATTAATCATTTATGTCGATAAACTTATAAAAAAATAGACAAAATGATGAAAGCATATCTTTACGGCAAATAGAATTTTAACTGCATTTAGATTTTTTATTCTTTATTCGCTACTATTAAATATATTAAATATAATTTATTTTGTGTTTTAACTTTTTATGAAAATTCATACATTCTTTAAGTACTGTGATAATAATATTTTTATTATTCTCGATTACCTAAGTATTACTTAATACAATTAAGAACATTAAATGTTTATAATTATTATTGTATGTTATGCTTTTTTTTATATAATTTACGAAATAAAAATAAATAATTATAAACGTATATAGTTTTCTGAATATATATTTTCTTTATTAAAGCTTCCTATCTAGGAAAGTTTCCTAAGCATAATATAAACATTTAGTTAATAGCTTTTGTTTTTATCTCGATATTCTTCAATCCATTTCCTAATAAAGAAGCGATGATATTTCCGTGCTAAAACAACACTATATGGATCATTGGCATCGCTGCTTCTCAAATCAAGATGATGTGCACTTTCTGGTATTACCACAGCTATTGCTGAAGATGATAAGTTTCGTAATACCCCCCCACTAGACCACGGGTCCATTAAACCATTGCTATAAATGAAAAACGAAAAACGAAAGATTGGATTATGAACAATACTTAATTGTATTTAATGCTATATATTATAAATATATCAAATTCAAATTTTTCAATTGATGATATATGACCATATACCTGAAAATAATATTTGTTGCGGTAGACAGGTCTTTACATCCGTATTGCTCGCACACTAGATTTGGTTGTGGTTTTACTGAATATTGTTTTACGCAATCCTTGGTATATTCATCCAAATTCCATGGACGAGGTTCAAACATGTCATTTACTCCATCTGAACATATTGGCATCACCATTTCTGTACAAGCTTGAAAAGACCATCCAACAGCGCCCAACTCAGGCGTAGAATCATTTAAATTTAAACACTTTGTTTCTTTAGTATAATTAGTAAATATACTAATTGCTTTGTGTATTGCTGTCAGCAATTCCATTCCTGCGAGTGATTGATTTGTTAAATGTTTGCATACAGCCTGTAGTAAGAATGATATTTTGATATTATTTTAAATAAATAAACAAATAAATAATTTTATTGATATTGATCATGGTACAATGGATTAATTGCAAATTAAGATACTCACATTAACAGGATAAGCAGGTAACGGTGCCAAGAAACTGGCATTATATGGATAGTTTACTACAGCAAGGTTTGTATAAATATCTTCCAAATAAGAAATTAACTGCTTGACATCACTTGTATTTTTTAATGGTTGACATAGCTTCCAATTATCTGACAACCATTTTTTTCCTTTGTCTATTTCAAAAAATACAGAATAGTTTAAGAAATACAGGGAGATAGCACAAATAACAAGCTATCTTATTACCGTTTGATGTTATATTATAAATAACATTCCATGATTTACGAATAAGTTTTGGACAATTTGAATGAGCTATTTTAAAATCTGATGTAACTATGCGTAAAAAAGCTTCACATTCTGTAACTCCACTAAACTGCAATATTGGAGCTGAAGACGCAATTGCTCTGTAATTTTGTATATATTATATGTATATTATGCTTTATATATATTATATATTGTATTTTATATTGTATTGTTTCACTAACCCTTGCACAATATGAGGATATTTTATGCGTATCCATGCACTAAGCATGCCACCATACGAACCACCAAAAACTATGACAGGACTATGCTTATATTCTGGTTTAGATCTCAAATATTGAATCAGATCAACATAATCCTCGAGGGCTTGTTGAGATGTTAAATATCCCAAGTGACTCAAATCTGCATAAGACTTATTACTGTAAGGCATGGATTCTCCATAGTAACGATGTTCAGCAAAAACTAGTAAAGCTCCAAATTCTGGTGCGATATCCCACATAAAACCCTGTAGAATGTAACAATATTACAATTTGAAATGAGTTAATGGATAATGGATAATTGAATGAAATATATTGTTGATATAGTCATATTTATTATTCCATGAATTGTAGAATACTTACTGTATTCTGAGCAAAAGTTTCAATGTTACCTTCATTCCCAGTATAAAAAAAAATAGGTGCATCTTTTGGCTTTTGCCATGTATTATTTAGAAGATACCGTAATTTAAACGTATCTAATACTGAGAAGCTAAAGTGATCCACCTGTGATGTATTTAAAACAACTTAGTTTCAATACAAAAAGAAAAAAATATAACTAACACTCAAACATGTATCTAGAACAAGATCAAATAATTGAATAATTTAAAAAGTGAAAGAAAATTTTTGTATGATCGCAGATACATGTGACAATTGATATATGTATATATACTAAATGGACCAAGCTAATTATGTAAACATGTAAAAATTGTGTCGAATATTACTGGCAGAAATGGAAGTAAAAGTTAATAGAAGTACATACTGGCATATCAATTGTTTTAATCTCATATTTGTACTTCGCGCTGTGCGATTCAATCTGAGTGCGCAATTGCTCGTGATAGCTCCTGTAAAACCTATTTAAAAAGGCATATTGCACGGCAGGTTGGCATAATGCAATAAAAATTAATAGTAAAATATTGTGGGCCTTCATCCCAAAATGCATGTCAATGAGTTTTATTTAGATTCCAACTGAGTGAACGAGTTTATTTGCCATAGAACAATAACGGACTTCACAACGTTTCTCTATGTAAGGTGTATCAAGAGTATTACCTAAAACGATATTCAGATTAGATATAATTATAATTTTATAATATACCTTGTATTTACAATATAATCTTGGCAAGATGTACGTTAAATATTCTTTTAATATTATTTAATATTATTCTTTTAATATTATTTATTCGGCAAGATTCGTAATATTGTGCACATATGTCACTACTCAATTAAGCGAAGTGTGAACGACTATTTTTCAACGATAAGATATATGTAGTCCGTTTTACTTTACATTATAAATAAATATTATCTTATCACCTTAATTTTACGTACTTCTTGATATATAACACTTTAGATATTTTTCATAAATAACATTACAATACATGCTAAATGTATTTGAAGTTAACCGTAGTTTTTAATAATAACGTCGTTAGATGGAGTTGAAAATAGAACATGTGAGATATAATGTAAGAAATATATATATATATATATATGATAGTGCAAGTAATATTAAATGAGTGTAATGAAAGAATGAAAAATTAATATTATTGCTAATACATCTAAAAATACAACCATTCATTAAATAGATCGTTTGATTGTAAAGAAATCATTAATTGCATCAAGCATGCTCTGTCAAAACAAATACTGAAGTTCCCAGAATACAAATCATAAGGTAAGTAGATACATATTCAGATAAATATCATGCTCATTTAAAGGAAACTCATAGCGAAGATGTCAATTTCAAAGCTGTTACCAAAAATGTCTCATTAAACAGGTAATTATTGTGGGTTCAAATCATAAGTTAAATATCTAGCAGGTAAATACTATAGCTGTTCAATTGAGAGAAATATCAGAATCACAATCATTCAATGTATTGTTCATTTATTAGTATGTGCATTCATTTATCTATCTATCATTCTCTTCAATTATTCATTCATATATCCACAAAGATACAATAAATAGATAGATACTAATAAATGAACAATATATTAAGTGTAACTTTTTTTTTGGTACTTTCCATAAAATCTGTGGTACTTATCTTATAATTTGAATATTTATCTGTTTTAATGAAACACTAAAGTTTTGGTCAATATTTTCGATGTTTCCCTTAAATACTATGATACTTACCTTGGTACTTATTTAATTCTGGGTACTTAACTGCTTGTTTGGTGCCCTCTTTGTGACTAAACAATCAGTTTGATTGAGAGATGTAATTTAATTATTAAATGTATTGGCAATAGTATTATTTTTTGTTTTATTTTATATATTATTTTTGTCCATTATTTCATTATTTGTTAATTACAATTACTTCAAGTCTTCATGTAGAACACATGTCTACTTGTCTACATGTTTGTTTTCCACATTTTTTTATTTATTAGTCATAATAAAAATTATAATCATATGTTATATATAACAATTTTAATTTTATTTTAATTACATTATATTAAATGTTAAATGTTTTCTAAGAAAAATTTGTAATTATTATATATATAAATATAAACGTGAAATAATTAATTATATTAATATAAGTATGTAAGGTTTTAGTTAATTTAATCGAAGTAATTAATAGACACTGACATAAAATCTTTATTACAAAAAATAAATTAATTCATTCTACATACAAAAATACAACTAATATTAATAATACTCTCTATTCAGTGATGATTTAATAATTATACTATTATTGAAAATTATTATTATCAAAGCATAACACTAATGACACCGGTAAAAATTAATAATGTATAATGTACAGCATATAATGCATAAATGTCATAAATCTCATTTAAAATCTTTAAAATAAATTTTCAAAGTATACATTTTTGATCGAGAACAATTTTTTTAAAACTGTTCTTTTCTTTAAGAATTCAAAAATGCTTATTAATAATTAATTTTGAAATTGGTATTAAAATTTTACAAAACCAATTATAATAGAATAATTTGATAATTAAGAGTGTTATACACATTAGATTGATCTTAGTTTATAAATTATAAGAATAGAAAAGAATTATGGCTTCTTAATTCATTTACAAAAATGTTTACATATATTAATTTGTACAAAATATTTTATATGTACGAGCTCAAAAATTTAAATAACATCAACGAAGAATTTGTACACATTTAACTTTGTTCGAGTTAATACTTTAAATGCCAGATAAATATAAATTCGTTCAATTTCAATGTTCAATATATCTGTGTAATTTGACTTCGTACATCAAACATAAATGTAAAATTTTTATATATATATTTATAACATAAATTTCTAATAACGTCATTTTAATATCTATTTTGTACAATCTTAATATTAGTACTTCTAATTTCTTTTAGGATATATAAGTTGTAAACAATATTTGTAATACTCAAAAGTGTACTTAGATAATCTTAATTATTATGAAGTTATATTTATTGTATTAAGAAAGAAATCCAGTCTTGCATTAAAATATTATGTCATAATGTTCGGTAAGAACATGTGACTAAATGTCTCACTACAAGAGAACTTATTTATACTCTAGATATAGACATTTTATAAAATTGAAATAAAATTAATAAATCTTAAAATAATTCTCTCTTTACAAGTTCACATTCTTTCACAAATAATATATAAATGTTAGTAATCATAATTAGTACTCTATTAATTAACCGGGAGTTGTACTTTCGTATTCTCGTTTAGAAAATTATGTTATTGTTTGCTGTTACTTAGTAAAGTACAGCAAATAAGTATCATTAATTCTATTAATATACACTTATAATTTTTAGTTAATTGGTCCCTAATACAAAAAGTTTTCTAATAGAGTGTTGTACAATAAAGTGCTTTAAATTAAAAAAATATCTAGCCTCTTCTAACTACTGTTTCCTTCTAAACTATATTGCATATTAATATATATGTATATACACGCATACACACATATATAAAGATATATGTATATGTATACATATACATATATACGCATATATATATATATATTTTAACTAAATATTAATATATACTTCAACATTTATTTTTGTACTTCTGTGCATGTCGCATTTGTTCCATTTTTTTAGTATACTGACATTCAATTTCTTTAAGTTTTTGTTCTTGAGTAGTAACAATTGCATCAAGTTTTTGTTGTGTTTGATTCATGGCTCTTTTATACCCTTCTTCTATACGTTTACATTCCTCTCTAAAAAATTTCTCTCTTTTCGCTGCATATTCCTAAAATAATTGAGAAGTAAAGGAAAATTATTAAAAAAGATGAAATAGATATAGTTCATTTTTGTCACACAGTTACCTTGTAATTGTTCGCAGTACTTTTTGCTGACTGATATTTACTTTTTAATTTATCGATATTACTCTTTATATCTTCTTCTTTTTCTTTCAATGTTTTTATTTCTGTTTTCAAATTTTCTTCACTTTCCTGTAACTGCTGTAATTTATTATTCATCTCAACTTCTTTATCTTTTATTTCCCTAATTTCTCTAACCCATTCACTGATAAATTTAGCCATCACATCTTTCTCTTCATTCACATCAGTTTCTTTCTGCTTTAATTCCTCTTGTAACTTTTCAATCTCCAACTGTTTTGCTAGCAGTATTTTACGACAAGTTTCAATCACTTTCTGCATTTCTTCATAATATTTGTTTTTTAATTTTAATAAAACTGTTTTGTATGTTTCTTCCAATTCGTTCCTTTTTTCCCGATTGTGTTCCTCTATACGTTTAAGCTCTTCGTGTACCTTTTGTTCCATCTCTTCGTGTAACTCTTTTATCATACTTTCCCTTATTTTTAGAAAATCTGTGCCATCGTTTGAACTGCGCGGTGATAAATTTAATTCAGGAAATATTTGTTTTTGATGCTTAACATACTGTTCAAATTGTTTTGCCTGATTTTTTAACTTTAATACAAGTTGGTCTCTCTCCACTTTTGTTTTCTCAAAGTCCTTTAATCTTTCTATTTCCTCTTCCTTTCCTTGTAAATCTGCTTCTAGTTGTTTGATTTTTTGTTCCATGGCATGAATACTTTTTCTTTCAACTTTGAAATGGTTTATGTCAATACTCAATCGCGTTGCCAAATCTTTATAGTGAGAAAGATCTTTTTCCAATTCATATTTTGAATTTGATATTTCACTATTCTTTTTTAACCTACTCTCGAAATTTGCAATTATTTTTTTTGTTTCCGATAGTTCCATCTCTAACTGTGAAATTTTATCCTTATAAACGTTTGTTTCGCTAATTAAAGTCTCACACTTATTTTTTAAACTTTCATTTTCTACTTGAAACCGAGATACTTTTAATTTTACATCGGAATCTTCGATTTTTAAATTTCGCTTGATATTTGACAATTCAGAATCAAGTTTCGAAATTTTTGTAATAAAATTATTTCTCTCACTAATTGCATTTTCATATTTCTTTTTCCAAGATTCTTGAGATATTTCCACTTGCGCTATCTTTAATTTCGCATCGTCTAACGCAGATTGATATTCCAACACTTTTTTCTGTTCTTCAACTGCAGCATGTAGTTTATCTTCCAAACGTTTACAATCTTCTTCTAACTATAAATATATTAAATTTGATAACTAAAGCATAGCAAACAAATAATAACACGCAAAATATATATACCTGATTTATTTTCTCTAAATGTTCAGAACAATGATCTGGCAAATAAACACTTATTTCTTGATTAGGGTGTGCATTGCGTAATTCATTTAAAGCTTCCTCTTTAGCTGTAAACATTAAATTTACGATAATTAAATCTTTATTAATAAAAAAATTTGTTATTTTATATATTACACATTCTATTGTATTAAATTTTATTTACTTAAGCAATATATTATCCTTACCCTTTTCAATTTCTTGGTGAATCTTCTTTATATATTCGTCTTTCTTTTTCCTTTCATAATTCAAATCTTTTTCTAAATCAATTATTTTACTTCTGTACATGTCACACTCGTTCATCAATTTTTCTACTATCTTTGCTTGTGCCTGCAAGTCACGTTGATATTTTTCTATCTCTATTTCTCGTTCTTCTAAGTTAACATATTTTTCTCTTAACATTTTGATTTCAGATTTATGTTCACTTATTAACTGTTCCTTTGTACTACAGACATCTATATACAACTCTTTAACACGATCCAATTCTTTTTGTGTTTGTTCCAATTGCACGCTATAAATTAAAACATTTTTTTCATCCATTTTAAACAACATGGTATTAAAAGTACATAAATAATAAACAAAAAAAATTATTACAGAAATAATAATAAAAAAAAAATTATTACAGAAATAATTATAATAGAAACAATGTCTACGATAACTTACGATAATTGCATTACTTCAACTTGTGCTTCTTGCCTGACTCTTTCTACAGCTTTAGCATGTATTTCCAAATATTCTTTATTGTACTCATCAATGGCATCTTTCTCTTGTTGATTTATACTTTCTTGATGTAATTTCATAAGTGTTTCCTGATTAATCGCTATTGTTTCCTTTAATTTTTGTTCTAACTTTGTTTTTTCTTCTCGTAACGATTCACATTGCTTTTTTACATCATTAAGATGATTGGATAACTTTTGTATTTGAGTTTTTGCTTTTAAAGCTTCATCCGTAAGTACAGATTTCAATTCTTGTTCTAGTTCATTAACACGTTTAGCATATCGAGCTGCTTCCTGTCGACACACATCTGCTATAGTTAAAGCTTTATCAAGTTCTTTTTCTTTCTGCGATAGAGTATTTTCCAATCGAGTTATTTCCTTCCTTTTGATAGCTTGTCCAGCTAAACACCTATATGATACATAATAAAATTAATATTGCAATACATAATTATTTGATACAATGAAATTATTTTATCAAAACAAATTACCTTTGCAATTCGCCTTTTAATTTATTCGTAATATCATCATAAGGCTTTGATTTTGATTTATTATGGAAATCACCCAATTTCATCTGTCTAATAGAATCTGATTCTTCCTCTAATGTTGTAGCTAACAATGAGTCATACTGTACTGCATCACTTTTTGCTATCTCTAATTTATTCTGTAAATATATTATTAATTGTAATATGAATCTTATACATTCTAAACATATTTCAGAATATATACAGTGGATTGAAGCTGTTTTTCAAATGTAAATTAATGCTTTAAATTACCTGTAACTCTTGAATCATTTTTTGCATTTCTTCTTTTTCCTGCGTCAAAACTTTAATTTGTGCTTGAAGCTGCATTACTTGCTGAGCATTATTTGTAGCCATAAGATTCCGGCACTGTGCCTGACTTTCTTCTAGCGCTTGTGCCAGACGATTCATCGTATCTCCTTTCTCCACCATCAATGTTTCATTCGTCCTCCGTATATCAGCTAATTTATTTTCCAAAGCAATATAAGATGTTTCCTATTAAAATTCAAGAAAATCAAATAAATAAAATTGTGATAATTTAATGAATCAAAAACTAATTCTTCTAGCGTAAATACGAATTTTTAATAGCGTTATCATGCAAAAATATAAGCAAAAATCAAGGAAATTATATGATTATAATTATAATTTTGTATAAGAGCATTATAATTGTAGGAAAATACAATATTATGAACTTGCCCATATACAATGAGTGTTGGAATCCACATTGAGCAGCTATGACAAATATTGTTGTAACTATTGTTGTTATTATTATTATTATTAATATTATTATTACATTTGCAACTTAAAATATGTTAATGAATAACAAAATTTTAGCGTATCGCTATTTGTACAGATTATGTGTATTATAGAAAAAAAATTCGCTAAAATTTTGTTATCTACATCTATATCTATGTTACAAGTAAATATGATTAAAATTTAATACATAATATAATATAAGAAATACCTTTGCATTAAGTTTGTCTGTTAGTACATCAATTTGAATTTGCATATTTTTCATTTCAATTGCATGCTTTTCTTGTGCTTGTTTCAAAAATTTTTCATGTGTTTTATCATTTGCTTGCAATGCTTGTACTCTTTCTAATACAACTATTTTTTGTTGTAATTCTATTACAGAATCTCTGGCGATATTTAATTCCTCTGTCATCTGAATTTTTTAATTTGTGTAATTAGGTAATTAATACACATAATGTTATTGTAACAATAAAACTATTCTGCAAAAAAATACAGGAGACATCTTACATGTTGATTAGTTTTCTCCAAAATTGCATTTTTTTCCTTTAACGATGTTATTTGATTCTGAAGATCTGCAATTTCAGCTTTTGCATCAACTGCAAAGAAAACATGAGATCTAAACATGAGACATAATCATTTATACAGATAATCTTTTAATATTAACATGCTTCATTAGATCCTACCTAAAGCGTGTTGCGTTTGATTTCTAGATATGTTTGATCTTTCGATATCAGCCTGTAAAAGTGTTATTTTTCTACTAAGCTGAAGCTTCTCTTCTTCTTTTTCCAACTGTAGTTGTTGCAACTCTTCCGTTAATCGTTTAACTTCTTTCACTCGTACTGTATATAAAACTTCCAATTGTTCCTTACTATCATACTCTGCTATTTTATAAGCCATACTATCATCATCGGTTGGTCTACCATTTGGACTTGTTTTGTAACAATGATTTATGTGATCAGATGTAAGATTATCACCACCTCCAAATTCATGAATTTGCTTACAATGTACATTATTCTCATATCCATCGATATAACCATTATTTGAACAATTTTTATCTTGAGCATAATGATTAGCTGGCGTCTGATAATTATATAAATAATTTTCGTTAAAAGTATAGTCTTCGACTTGCGTTCTCATGTCTTTAGGAAATGCACAGTTTGGTGGTCTTGCCAGTTCATAAGGCGTTTCTGCAGTAATATTATGCATATCATTATCCCTATTGTTATTAGAACACAGAGCATCAGGTTGACCATATACATTGAAGTCTCTTTGCATGCTAGAGATTGAAGGAGCAAGTTCCAACTCTGATCTGTGATTCATTATGCTACTGTCATAGTTGTTTGAATTATCGACATGATCGTAAGTGTCAAACTCCTTTTGCAATTGAGATACTGTATGGTCTTTGGATGATACAATTCCTTGAGAAGAATTTAATGTCGTATTAGAAACTTTTGCTCCTTTAGTGCTATCTTGATAATGACTATCATTGATAGAACTGGTATCAGATTCTTCATCTAAATCATCAAACGCATTGTCCAAGAGATCCTTGATCTGAAACAGCAAGTTGTTAGAGTCACAAGTTACAAACTTTAGTTTTCTGACTAAACCATATGTCAGGTGAAAGATCCTGCAACAGTGAAAATAAAGAAAGATGCACCTCTTTGCTACGTTGCTTGGCATCCTCTTGCTCCTCATCTTCCTCTAAGCCTTGTGTATTTGTATTTAGTTGAATATTTTCTGAGCCTAGAAACAAGCTCAGACTTGGACCCTCCATTCCTATCGTCTGGCATGCACGAATTTATCATGAAAACCAAACATTTACAGCCAACATATTTTTGTTTATAACGTCATAACCTACACGTAACAAGTGGGTCACAAAAAATAAGTTTGGACTATAATCCCTGGTTTAACGATGGTTCACAAAGTCTTGGTAAGTACATTTTTCACTAATCTCGACAAGTTCGCGACAAACAATCCCGGGATTGTTCAACTTTTTCAATGATTATGCACTCTGCAATTTGCTTGTAAACAATCTTTGAAAAGTCAAACAGTAGTACAGGAAGCCTAAATGCGGAAGTGAGCGCTGCAACTATCTCGGCTCTCCTATTGGCTCCTTCTCTAGAGTGTCACTAGCGACTGTGCCATCGTATTTTCTTCAAGAAATCCTTCCATTCTGAAGGATTCGTACGTAGGTATACGGGCATATTGATAATGATAACTTCAATGTATAACGTATGAGAAACAACGTCAGTTTCAGGATGAAAGCGGTGATACAACGCGTGACACAGGCTAGTGTTTCAGGTAATGATTAGGTTATACGTGTTTTGTTGTAATAACTAACTTACGCCGTTTTAAGAAACAAGAATAAAAAAGGAAATGTGAAACGTTGGGTTTATGAAATAAAAATTATATATCATGTTGTATTAAATTTGACGATATGTGGTTAAAATAGATAATTTCTTTTTTATAATAATACATATTAGACAATTATAATAATACATATTAGACAACATAATTTTACATAAAGTGTAATGCCATGAAATAATGCATTAACATGCATTTCAATTCGGCTTCATTCAGAAAACATATTATATCTATTATGTGTACTTGGTTCATTTTCCATTGATACACATCATTATATAGACTAATTTTTCAGTTGATGGTGAAATTATTAGTAACATTGGCAATGGTCTCTGCGTCTTAATTGGCATTAAAAGAGATGACACGATAGAAGATATGAAATATATGTAATATATATTTACATATTGCTACAATGAATATTTTAAATACAATAGTCTAGTTCAGTATAAAAAATAAAAAATGAAATGTTATTTTTCTTAGAGTGAGAAAAATATTGAATATTAAAATGTTCGATGATGATAATAATAAGAAATGGAATAGAAGTGTTATGGATAAAAAATATGAAATATTATGTATTAGTCAATTTACGTTATACCACACTTTGAAAGGAAATAGATTAGATTTTCATAAAGCAATGCCTGCTCAAGGAGCCGAATTATTTTATAATACCTTTCTTACTGAACTTGGTAAAAATTATAAGCCAGAGTTAATCAAAGGTAAATAATTTAGCAATGTAAGCAACTTCTTATGAAAGTATATCTTTTGCATTGAGATAAAGTAAGAATAAAATGAACTGTAGCCACTCTATTATTAAGATGCCTGTTCAGCGTTCGGAGGAAATAATATATTCATTTTAACAAACACTTTCTGCAGATGGTAAATTTGGAGCAATGATGGAAGTTGATATAAGAAACAGTGGACCTGTAACATTAGAAATAGAATCTCCACTAAAACCTAGTGAATCAAACCAGTCTAACAATGTACAGTGAATATCAATATGGAAAGTCAAAAGTAAAATATACAAACGTATAACAGATAGTATTGTATTTTTATGAGTTTTTCAAATTCCTTCCTTTTATTTATATTGTACACCAATGTATTTTATAATTTAATATTTTACTTTTTAATATTTTTTTTGCTGAATTTTTCTTATGGTATTAGTACGTGATAATTTGAACCAAATTGATTTCTATACAATTTTATAAATGTAATTTTTTTTATATATCTGATATTGTATATTTTATATACAACGCGATATTGATTATTACTCTATTGGAAACATTGCTCTGTATAAGCGAAATATCGTTTATAAATCGTTGCACAAATGTTACTCCGTCGTATTAGATTATTGATACTGTTACAAGATTGTTGATGTCAAAAATACTCTGTGCAATATAATGTAGGGAGCTACTTTGATCATCAGAGTATGTGACAGAACGCGGTACTTATATATATGTATATTAAATAATGTTAGCATGAAATTCGTTTAGATAATTTTTTTACAATTGTGTAAATGAAAAATATGTAATTTTAAGTGCACATTATCATCGTGTATGAAATTATGCAAAAGTATGATACGAGTGCCACTTTGCATTGTATTAACATTTTTAATGTTTACGTAGTGGCAAATATCCCGATGTGTAAGTACGTATATACGTTGCATTCAGTGTTTTTTATTACTTCGAAAACTATCGTTTCTCTTTCAGCGATGAATATTACCGTCTAAAAAGTACCTATACATTTATTATCCAGAGATGAGACAGACAAAGATTATTTAAAAAGACTTTGTTTACTATTCTGCTCCGACGTTTGTACAGAATATTTAATTGTTAATCATTGAGATACAATGGAAATCGAGCAGAACGAAGACGAAAAGTCAGTAGCTACAGAAAATGAACATTCGCAAAGTACGTACATATTTTTGTTAAAATATGACTTTGTTAAATAACAATTTGTCAGTAATAATGGACGATTATATTCTAGATAAATCTGACGCCTCTTCGCAAACAGAAAATATAGAAAATACAAAGGACATGCAGCCTGGGGAATTGAAAGCTACAAACACTGGAAATGATGAATCGGTTTATTCGCGCCAGGTATGTACAATGATGGTTTTTTAACATGATCTTTGTAGTCGCGTAGCAATGATCTTTAAACGTATATATTTACTTTTCAGACGCGCGAAACTCAAACGGACATCACGGATATGGAGACGGTAGAAAAATTGAAAAATCGGTTAGATACTTTAATGAATTCCTTGGCTATCTTATCGGCAGAGAAATCTAAAATGGAAGCGAATTTTCAACAGGATAAGAAGCAACTGAGAAGCGAACGAGACGAAGTGAGTTCGTACTGCAGTGTACGTATTCATTTTGCATTATATTTCGTTAAATGTAGTATGGTTACAGTGTGAGAAAGTAATTAAAGATTTGAAGGAAAAGTTGAAGAAAGCGCAAAATACGAATTACTCCGAGATCGAGCATATGAAGTGTAAATTGATCATGGAACGTCACGAAAGGGAAAGAGAACAGGCCGATCATGGGAAAATGATAAAGTACGCGATGTGATGTAAAAGATATATTCGTTAAGGTTTAAAAAATTTTGCTAAAGGCAAATTTCTTTCGTTCTCAGAGAACTTCAGAAATTGTTGCACGACGAACGGCGAAATAAAGAACAACTTGAGATACAAGTAAAAAGTCAGTTCGCTCACAAAACGCAGTGTAAAATACTTGAAGCTGAATTGGAAATAACTAGAAACAAGCTTAAACAGGCGGAAGAAGCAGCTAAAGAGACTCCTCCAATTTTACTATCGCTCCAATCTGAAATGGCACTGATGAAGAAACAACATTTAAATGCGATACACGAAGTAATTTCAAGAGACAATTTTCGTGGTACACTTGTGAAATTGTTTCGTCTGTCACAGCCACGGGAATAATGAATTTATTCCACAGGAACAAAAAAGAGCTGCTGCTGCGGAACAACAAGCCAGAGCATTAGCAATGACTCACGAGGCAAGAGTAGCTGGCTTAGAAGCAAGATTGGCTGAACTTTCAGAAATTGTCGGAGGATATGATAGACTCAGACAGCAAGATCAACAAGCCATACAGAAATTGAAAGAGCAATTGGTTGGTCTACAAGATTCTGAATATGATTATATTATGTTAAACAATGAACCTGAAGAAATCATTTCTAAGATAAAAAGTCTTTACACTAAATTGTTAGATTTCGATAATAAGAAAAGCGAATCAGCGCACGTCAAATGTTAGTCAATTGAAAATATTCTTCTTTTACATATGATTTAATGTATATCGTGTATAATTACTGGTAAATTTTGTTTTCAGCATTGTTACATAGTTTAGATTTATATGATAAACAAGAAATTATTGACTATAAAGAAAAGTACGAGACTCTGTTGCAAGAGTTCGAAGATTATAAACAACAAATGAAATACAGCAACATTGGGAATATATCGTATAACATTCAGAGTCAAAATATTGCGTCGTCGTTGCACGATAAAAATCATAAAGCGCAGTTGCATCTTTTGAAGGCGCATAATAATAATTTGGAAGAAAGAATACGTGTTTTGAACAACGAAATTGTTACTAAAGAGAGGGAATTACAACTAAAATTGGACAGTCAGGAAAAGGCAAATTTTTTTTTTTATTTAATCAATCGTTGGTAAATTAAGCCAATTACGTTTAAAATGAACGTAACTTGAACAACAAACTGGTTATTTTTGCAGTCATCTCAAGAAGAACGCGAGAAACTGAAACATTTGTTGCTACAGAAAGACAATGAATTTCGTAATAAAATATCTACGTTAGAGCAACAATTACTACGTCAACGAGAACGATCGATGGCTCTCATCGAAGAAAAGGATAAAGAAATTTTAGCCTTAAAAACATCGTTTCACGCGTTAGTACCGAAAAAGGAAAATATTGCCGAATATAAATCAAATACATCAAAATATGGAAACGGGGCAGAACCTATTACCGACTTGGTAACAGGATTGTTAACAAGCGACAGCCCTCCAATATTGCATTACAGCCAAGAGTTAGCGAGAAAAGAAGTGCAAGTATCAGCATCTAGGAAAAAAGTTTTAGAGCTAGAAGCTACATTGCGGGAAAAACAAAGAGAAATCGTACATATAAAAGAGAAGCAGAAGGAAGATTCAAAAACTTTGCAAGCTCAAATCGAACGGTAAATTTCAGTCTGATAGTAAATTGAAGAAATTGCAGGATATTTACGTACGATTATCCTGTGGTGTTTCAGACTCGAAGCTTGCAAGTCTCGGGAAGGTGCAAATCTTGAATATTTAAAGAATGTTTTTATAAATTATTTAACTACGAACGACGTGTCCAGTAAACGTCATATGCTGAACGCTATTTCCACAGTATTACGTTTTACTCCGGAAGAATTAAATAAGGTAAAACATTAATTCATACTATATATAAAAATGTATAAAAAATGATTAGTAAATTTAATATATATCATGAAAGTTATTTTTTTATTATATTTTCAAATATCTCAAATAATATTTGAACAATATGCATTATGTGTACTAATAATGTGTTCATAAATTAAAGTTAAATATCTATTTATCAATTTTTAATCATACTGGAATATATATAATTATTTTTTGAGATTCACGTTAAATTATTCGTGTACTACAAGAAATTATCTCTTGATACAATGTAACAAAGAATGTAAAATCATTGCACGACATTCCTTATTCCGTGTTTATATGACTTTAAGATATTTGAAAAAATATAAGTTGAAGAACAATTGTAGAACTCTTGTAGTTTAAACGTATTTACATTTTTTATCAAGATATATAAATAAACTATAATTTGTACTTTGAACAAACGTATATTATTATTTCAAACCATCACTATATCGTTTCTTTAATAGTAAGGGTCATAGTAATAAAAACATTGACAGTGAAATGGAAAACAATTTAGAGCGAAATTTATGCAATCTCACACGTATACTTATATATACTTATCGTAAGTCTAGGAAGAAATAAAATATAAAATTTACCATCAATTTATATTACTTGTAATCTTACAATTATATTATGTAGCAAATATGGACAACCTAGAAGGAGAAATGAAGCTCTTTGTTGACATATGTAAGTATGTTGTATTGGATTGATGCAAAAGTTCGTCCCGTTTTCTGACCAAAATTTGAAGAAGAATTTTATTTACTAAATATTACATTTCATCAATATAGTATGTTCCGTTCGATGATCTTTCCCCATTTTTTCGGTAGCTGCATGATCCCGCATTCATAGAAGTTCTAAGGTTTCTGGTTGAAGAACTGATCAAGGTGACTTTTGCAGTTTTTCAAGCAAGTAAAGTATTTGCCATCTGAACTTTTTTGATTTGAATAAATGGTAATCGGAGGTCGAGTACGGTGGATGGACCACAACATTTCGGCCAAGTTGTAAAAGTTTGTGTCGAGTGACCAAAGACACGTGTGGTTTAGCATTGTCAACTAATTTAAGCTAATAATTGTTGGCTAATTCAGGCCGCTTCTGGTCTTAGTTGTGAACAGTATTTCTCCGAATTAATGGTATGATTTTTAGATAACAATTCATAATAAATCCTTCCAGTCCCGCCAAATGCATAGCATAACCTTCTTCAGATGTAAACTGGCTTTTGCGCTGTTAAAAGAACGTCACCGCGCTTGGACCATGATCTCCTCTTACGCTTAACGTTATTATACACAATCCATTTTTGAAAGTGGATTGATTTCGTTGCGCTTCAATAGAGACTCTCAAGCAGAAATTCGGTTGTATCAAACTTTTCTCTGTTTACTAATGAGACATCTATACATCAACCCTGTTAACCATTCCAAATTGACGTAATCGCCCTGATTTGACTGTTGACTGGTTGATTCCAAGAATTTCTCCGATCTCTCGAGCCGGTCGTCCAGAGCGTGGTGCATCACTAACGATAAGATTAAAATTGTTTTCACAAAACTGTCTGAACCACTGACGACACGTGGAATCGTCAATGGCATTCCCCACCGCACACAGCGCATATCTTCTTTTTCGTCTGCGTCGTTTGTGTCTCCTTATATTCTGCCACTTAATAAAACTTAAACCCAACCAAGTAACACAATTTTTTTTTCTTCACAAGTACTCGCTGAAATTCTTTCTATTGGACATCAAAACTATGCATGCACGAAGTAGATAACACTTCGGTTTTGCGAAGTCCATCAAGCATCAAAACTGGACGAACTTTTGCACCTAACCCAATACAAAGTACAATGTAGATTTTAATACAACGATCGATAACTTTGTCATTATATGGTGAAACTTGCGTTGTTAAAGGAATAATTTTAAATGCACATCGATATTTACTGTTTCTATCACTGTTAGTTTTCAGATGTGTGCAATTATCCTGTAAAATTAAAAAAAAAAAAAAAAAAAAACATTCAATACGCACCACGTATATACTCCGTCGTATTTATTTATACTCCAGATTTATGTTACGTGCATTATGTACAAAAAACAAGAATGACTAAATTGTGACGACACGTTTGGCATGTATGTATTTAGCGTTTCATCCGTCGATGAAAGAGAAAAAGAAACTAAATACAACTTATCGATAATGTCTTTGATAAGTTTCTTTTTTAATGTACTCATGTGATTGTACGCATTTTTTTTTCATCGAGGATCTGTACATCTCGAAGCTGCTAAATATTTCTCCCCCACATAATTCTCTAACAACGTATATTCGTTTCTTCTCACCGGTAATAACACGTCTTCGAAGCGGAAAATCATATCGTCTATGTACAGATTAAAAATCCACGCATCGTTTTCTTTTTTTTTTTTCTTTTTTCTTTTTTCGTCGTCACACATCGTTCGTCGTTCTTGACTCGTTTAATAAAATACAGGCAAACGATTATCAAATGATCACGGCGTCGTACTCTCGAAATCGATCGTCACTCGATTTGCTTACTTTAACAATACATAATTCTCGCTAAACGTCGTTCCCGTGACACTCTTCGACCATTGCGTTCACACCAAAACCTTTGCAAACAACGAGCTGTCTACTTGTCGAGAATAGGCGAACTTTACAATTACAGACTTTCACTCTGACAATATTTACACGCAATTTCTACCACTTTTCTTCCTTCCATCCTTCTTTCTTCCTTTGTTTTTTTTTTTTTTTGTTCTCTATCCTTTTATCTTTATCACCTCGTGATGCGCGACTAAAACGTTTTATTTAAGTATCTTCAAGGCATGATGTACACCTGTTCGATGGTTGCATTTCAGGCTCAGAATGTCGGCGATTGTCAACACAGATTACAACATTTTATTCGATAACATTTGTTCAATAGCTTTATAATTAATAATTAGACATCGGTATATAATATATATGATTCTTTAATATGTATATATATATATATATTTTTTTTTTCCTTCCGCGAGAAATATTCCTCGCGAATAATTACTTCTTATTTATCTGCTCTTTCTGAAAATTTGTAATCGGCTAAGATTCTTCCTCCTTTCTCTCTTTCTTCCTTTCTTTCTATAACGCGTTATAATGATGGTATAGAGTAATAGTAATGTAACTACAGAGGCCCTTAAACAACATTTCCCCGAGATGAGTGCGTCTATTACGTTGGAATAACATCTGTCGTCTTTGTGCACTTCGTCGAAAAATATCTGTGCTCTCGCATCATTCGTTCAACGGTTAAAATTTACCTTAAGAGAGGGGGGAGTGGAAGGTGGGAGGATGTGTGTGTGTGTGTGTGTATGAGAGGAGGAGGAGGAGCCATATTTTCCTTGAGATCAACGAAGCATTTCACGTCTTTCTCACGATCGATTGTTTCCCGTATTATTTGCAACTGTCGTTCCTTTCTTCCTTTCTGTCTCAATCTTTCTCAATCCGTTTCTTCTTTATTATAATCTTAATACAAACACTAACACGATATTTTATACAACAATAATATCATACCTATATTATAATATTTGCGATGATGATAATGATGATGATGATGATGATGATATAAATTACTATACCGTTGGTATACATTATCTTACAACTTGTATTAAAATTATAATAAATCCAAGTCCAAGACGGACTTATTTCTTCTTTCTCTTAAATGTGTGTGTGTATTTTTTTTTTCATTTTTGTAAAGATATTTTTTATCCTCTTAGATGTTAAACGTTCCCTATCGATGGTTTATCGATTTAATCCTATTATAATCTTATCGGTTAACGTCTTTATGCGAAGCCTCTAAAAGCAAAGAGAGTAGAATTGAGTCCGTCAATGCGACGTTGCATTGTTAGACCGCGCGTGCAGGGAAACGAATCTTCTCGTTTTAAGCAAGATTAGAAATCTCGAGTAAAATCACAACGTGGTGGTGCACGTCGATCTCGTAACTCTCCTTCTTCCGAGAACAACGACAACACAAACGTAGGCGGTAAAACTCGTTCATGGGTCATCCCACAAGTAATGCGATTTTTTTCTAACGAGTATTGCAGGAGTCTTACGCAGCGGAATAAAGGAGAGCAAAAAAAGAAAGAAAAAAGCCGACAGAAAGCTTGCTATGCTTGATCGATTATCGTATACTACTAATTAATAATAAGTATGTATTAGTAAAAAAAAAAAAAAAAAACAGAAAAGAAAAGAAAACTACATTATTTATGGGATGATTTAATGTATGTACATTAGGTATAACCGTTTGCGGTCCCATTCGAGTATTCTTCGAACTGTACTCTGACAATGAGATTAACTCTACGGAATCAATATACAAAACACTTAACGGGGAGAGAGAGAGAGAGAGAGAGAGGGAGAGGGAGAGAGAGAGAAAGTCACGCGTATATATTACGTGCAAAACGCCAGTGTGTCGTTTTCGCAGTAACGGTAGTACTAATAGTAATAAACTGTAGGTGGATGATACCGCAGACGGTTAACATGTTTACGATGTGCTTTCACGATTTGGCTGACATCGCTGAACGAAATGAGATACATTGCCCTGTTGCTTCGAAATTTGCAGCAACACATTATCCTACAAGGCTAGGTAAATCCGCGAATTCCTCGGAGGAGCATAGCAAATAGCTGAGACAAACAGGCTGGCGTTTCTTTTGTTGGAGCAATGTGACATTTTACGATTGTTTGCAATTTGTTACGAGCAAGTGATTACAGATAAACAAACCGCAACAGACTCATCCTATCTTCGCCAACGCTACTTTTTGTATTTACGCTGGTCTATATTATTGTTGGAAAAGAACGAACGAACCATTCTCACGGGAAACGGTGAAAGAAGAAAAGAGAGGGCTCTCTCTTCAAGTAGGCAACGTGTTATTTCGAATAAAACGTAGAGAAGCATTGTTTCTTAAACAGTTCATGCTAGTAATTATAATAATTATAAAACATAGAGAAGCTGTTTCTTAAACAGTTCATGCTAGTAATTATAATAATTATAAATACTTAAAATTAATAATATTAACAATTATTAATTGTAATAATTATGCTTGTAAAGAGATAAAAATATTTACCGACTCGTTCATCAATCGCAACAACACGACTCGAGCATTTGTTTAACTTTATACAAAGGCATAGTTTTTACGAGCCTTGTTCAATTTTTTTTTTTCTTCTCTTACTTCCTTGAATAGCGATGATTACGCACTGGTGCCATAATTACGACAGAAATTTTCAATGATTAATTAAAATCTTTACTAAAACAAAATTGAATGCAAATGGATTATGATCGAGATGATGAAAAAGCTTGACAGTTTGGAAGTGAAATTTACCTTCAAGTATCATTCCACTAATATCGAGTTACTCACACGTTTGGAAAAATTGTATCTTTTATTCGTGGGTAATTCTGTTGCAATTTCTTTCCACATCATCGTTTGCTAAATGACTCTTGCTTGCGTTGGTTCGTCAATTAGAATTAACGTTGCACACGCGTAAATACAAAATACCTTTTTGAAGCACACTTCGAAGCTCTTAGGCATTTCCCCCTTTGTTTGAATCTCGCCACGACACGTAAATACACGTTCGTTGCAAATGTCACAGTGCTCTGCTCTGTGTCTTACTCGATAATTCTTTCTCACTATACTAATGCCTCGTATCATCCGGATCGTTCTTTAGAAAATGTAACATGTGTGTGTTCGCGTGAATGAAAAATCTGTCGCCACGTCTGTGGCAAATTTGGTCCAACAACTGGTTCTCAAGTACAAGTTAAAAAGTTAATTGTAAGTCGGAGTTAAAAATCTGTCGGCGGCGATCGAATCGTTTGCATACTTTGTTCATGTATTTACAAAATTCACGAATCTTACGTACGTATGTGTATATATATGCAAGCGTGCGTGTGTATACTCTGAGTACACTAATAACATAACCTTCGTTTTCATGCACACGGTCAAAGGTTTCGTTGAAGTTCAAAAAAAGAGAAGAATATTTTTACACAGAAAGTAATCCCACGAAAATTGGTCAGCGTAAAATATTGTAATACTGCGTTTCGATTAGATTTTTACACTACGAAGCAATTTTCCCAGGTGAGGAAACAACGTGCAGACGACATTTGCCATTAATTCTCGAAGTTTTTCAAATACCATTGAGGTTAATTCGATTAATACGTATTTGAAATGTAATCAACTATATGTACATATTATATGACTTTCTCAATATCTGCCATTTGTTTTTATTTCTTTTCAACGGCAATTCAATTTTCAATTCAAACGTTTAAAACTTATTTCGACTAATATTTGCGGAAAAAACAGTAGCAACTACAAATACTCATGCGGCTTCGTTATTTTTCTTCTTTCGTACAATTTTCATCGAACGAGCAACGAGACGACGAAAAACGCGAATCGGTAATTACGATGATTAAATTCATCGTACAGCGGGAAAGTATCTTTAAATATTTCTGAATTTAAAACTAAAAAAGCGGAGAGAGAGAGAGAGATCAACTCAGAGAGAGAGGAAATCGCTTACACACTTAATTCGATATAGGTATACGTGTATTGAATATGTTCATTTTACGTTTTGAAAATTTTGAAAATGCGAACTCTAGTTAGTATCGTCTGACGCATAATTTATAATATGGCACTGGATACCTCTTTCAAGAAGACGATGCTTTTGCGTTTCGTAATTAGACGTGATCGAACGAAAGAAAAAAAAAAAAAAAAAAAAAAGTTCCCAGAAAGAATATCTGTCGAGTTTTATTACACGTAAGTGTACGATTGAAGTACTGTGTGAATTTAAGTTTGCAAACGACCGTGCGCAGATTTCGACAGATTTCAATGCCTCGCAATCGACCTGTTGCTCTTATGATATCTGCTTTATATACGTACATACATACATACGTGCGTGCGTACATATGTAATATCGTGCATTTAGTATACTTGCATTTGTGTAAGCTGTTAATTATTTCGTTACACGTGTTTCTTAATGTCCCCTTCGTCTCTTGTT